TATATGGCTTTGGAGAAGTTCTGCAAAGAAGACCATACATTCTTAAGATCGTCATTGGCGATTTTTTCAATAAGATGACGCCTGATGAACGGCACATCGGAATTCATGGATTGGAACGAAAAAAACAGGTGAGCAGCCATCTGAAACTATCATGAAGATCAAAAATCTCCATGATGCCTTAAAATTTCAAAACAGCTTCCCTGAAATGCAGGTGGATCCAGGGGATGTACTCCTTGTTTCTTTTGCGCCGATTTACCACATAACTACTGCATTTGTGCGGGCATGTACATGTATGTGTACGAGGGCGTGCTCCCGTTTATGCGGATTCTATTTTATGAGTCTGTTCGACCAAAAGCCTACAGTCAAGTGATAGGAGGCACGTGGGAGTCGGTAAAGAGATGCCTGCAACAAATAAGCTCATAGCAGAACGTCGAAAAGTTTCGAAAACTATCTCCAGTATTCTCATGTCTATAGTAAAATCGAAAACAGCTTGTTTCAAACCGAATTCTTTATGCGGGAGAATCGAAGCTCGCCAGAGCATCTTTTGAGATGGAGGAGAGACGTTTATTACATATGGTATTACAGTAGAGAGCTCCATTAAACTAATGTTAAAACATTGTAATTTCGACTAGAGATCCTGCTTAACTACGTTCAATACCGCCTTGTGCTCGTCAGATCATTTTCGTTGACTGGTGCTTGCTGATACCACCGCTAGGGTAAAAAAGTGCCCGAGAAAAAGGCAAAGCAAGGGCCTCGGTTAGAGTAGTGGGTTACATGTGATTTCCCGGAAAGGCTAATAGCAGTTTTGAAGCTTACTTGAGGCTCCAAGTTCTGTACATATCTCACCATTCTTGTGTTTGCTTTCACCATTTGTAGAGACGAAGAACTTCATACCGGTGAAAGTGAGACGAAATGGAATAGTTCTGTCATCAATAGGAAGAGTTTTCGTTGTTATCTGAATGTGATCTATTGTGTTGTCAACGCTTTTGAAAACACTCCTTTTCCTAATTTCTCTTTTTTCCTAACTTTCTGTCAATGCCGTTGTAGATAACTCGAGTAAAGAAGGAAAGACTTCAAGTAGATTTGAATAAGCTGACACCGTACAGCGTCTCCCTTGTTTGTGTATTGCGTATTTTTAGCATAACCTAGCGCTCATTCATTCAAAATGTAACGGCATTCCCGTGTTGGCTTCAAGGTGGGTATACTGAAATCTAACACTTCTGTTCCCCCAGGAAACCCTCAGTGTATATGAGCACCATGGTGTACCTTGATTCAACTCACTGTACACTATACAACTAGGCAACAGAGATAATCATTCAGAAATTCTGCATCGATTACTGAGGAATACATCGAAAGGAATCACCTGCATCGTCTGTCGTCCCATTGATTTTCGAATGATTCGTGCGCGAGCCAGTAAATCTTCTAATTTCGCTTGTTGCGTGCAATAGTATTCCAATGGGTTCTGCTCGCTTTAAGGAATCGTTGAGCAACGTATCTTTCTTCTAGGGCTTTCGTGCATACCTCTGGCTTTCGGGGTCGTGGTCTTTCTAACGTTTGACTTCCCGAACAATCCAATTACTAATGGCTTTCGTTCATCGGCTGTGGTTCCTAAGCATTAGCTGTCCGTCCCAACTTATCTGCAGTTTCTCGTGTTGAACAGTCTCTTTGATTTTTGGTCGCTGACCTACATCGGTGCTCCGGATCCCTTCCCTCACTTGTTAACACGGGGTGCTCCTCGCATAATTTCGATTGTGCGTTCAATAACGACAAGTGATATTTCATCCTGTTTACGTAGGTCCATGTTTCTGAAGAAGGTAGGAAAACAGTGATGTCAAAAAGGTGGGCATTGAGACGGCTGTTCTTCGTTCACTTCAGCACATCTTTGACGGTTTTGAAAATTTTCCAGGTTGATCACTTCTTCCTGCCCAGTTCATTCATTATGTCGATTTCCCAACCTAAACAGACGTAATTTAAGCACTCGGAGATATTCATTCCGTTGTGAATGAATGGAGCATACGTAACGAATCCGTGCCTCATGAATATCGTTTTTGTGAGATTTAGTCGATGATTAATTTTTCCACGGGCTTTATCAAAGTCGGCAAGTGTTCGTTCCGCTCGGCTAATTGTTGGTGTAGTAAGAACGATGTCGTCAACAAAACGAAGATAGTGTAATTGCCGACCATTGTTCGATGAAAAGGAATATCGGAGGTCAATATCGGAGATGAAAGAAACCTACAAAAAATAAAGCAGTGGAAAAGAAATCTTCCGACGGAATATGCGATGTTCATTCTACTAGTGCTATTAGTCGCTTATGAAATTTACAACATTGCATTGAATTAATCAGTGAAGATTTCAAACTGATTCGCTGATAAATGCTTATAGTTGCAAAGTATCAAACACGGCAAGGAGGCTGTGCAGTTCATTTACGTTTCTGTAGGCCTCGGTGCGGTCCTTCGAGCTCGCCTATTCTCGTTGTATTCCTACACATGCAACGTGACTTTGAACATAGTGGAGACCATACTTTGTCTCCAATGTCCTCGCCCGGTTCGCCCAGTGTACCAAGAATCTATGGAGAGAACTATACCATTCCTACGCATCCCAAAGGAAGTCCAGAGCAGGTGCGTTGTATTTCGAGCTATGTTCATCAACCGAGTTGATTGACACGATAATGCTTCACTGTGGATGGAACAGGATATTTTCTTAGTGCAACCGTTTACACATACAACTTCTTAGCGATACTTAGTAAAAAAAAAAATAATAAAGATACATATTGTTATATTAACCAAGTTAATCCCTGGATTCATTTTGTGGCATTATCAGATGAAATGTAGGGTTAGACCATTTGCAGAATAGTTAACGTTCTTCGACTGCTGGTAACGTAAAGTGGAAACTGCACAACCGCATGACCGTATGAGCATTCCGATAGAGCATCATCAATGGGAAAGAGTGAAAATTATAGAGCATTCGGTATTGATCGGTCCTTATAGGATGCTTCATGCATTCGACATCAGTAAGCACCGTTAGAGGTGACTGATTACATAACCGCCCTGTACAATGACTAGCGGTGGCCTACCGATGTATCGAGGCAGTGCTGCTATCCTTCCAGACAAGTTTGCTAGTAGCTTCCAGACCCCGTAGGCATATAGGATTTGATGATCCCGAGCGGGGGATAAACCCAAAATCCACGTGTGTATTGCAAAATAGCTTTAACCATTATGCTACACCCGCCATCATATCAATGATAGACATTGCAAACTCGAACTGTATCGTTCGGAAAGCTGAAAGCACCGCTCCATGATTTTTTGATATTTAGAAATGCGTGTCGCAATAGCGACTGGATTCCATCTCATCCGAAAGGCTTTATCATCGTTCTCCACCAGATTAATTTTTTTTCTGTAATAGTCATTCATAACCATTTTTCTTGTTGATTAGTTTTTTGAGTATATCGGTGGTGAAGCACTTGACAAGCTTGTTTCAGAAAAATACGCCAAGTCGCTGCGGATGCTTGCACCATGATGAAGGGTTTTTCTTTAACGACCCGTCCATATCAAAATTTCCCTACTTGGGAGCGAAATGTAGTCACGCTTACAACGTACTAGTGAAGCTCATTAGTTCTGAATACTCGAAGAGTGGCTTTCATGAGGTTTGTGCTATTTCGCAATATTATTCTCTCTTGAAAACTTTCAAGTTGTAGTTGGTAGATTTGAAGAAATTATTTAATGAAATATCGAAGACTTATTTTGTCTTCGAATGACGACAGAGAAGTTCTTTGGAAAACGACTGCAGTAACGGTAACGTGGAGTGGTAGATGGAGTCCTCTGCTTCTAAATCAGTCAAAAGGGAGACTTTTGGTATCGACAAGTTGTTCACAGTGGGCGTAGCATAAATGAGTGAACTATGTGGAGCATCTTCACAGTTGGTCATCTCCATCAGCCATAATGCCACCAACAATCACCAGCCAGCTCGAAAAAGATGGGAAGCTTTATGCTTTTTTCTACGATACCATTTATACTTGCAACTTTGGCGAAAGAGTCATCTCAATTAGTCCACCGAACTCTGTCCACTTTCATGCAGCTAGCTTTCAGGGTAGAAAAAAGGAATAGATTCTTAGTTTTTGAGACCATGCTTCAAGAATGAGCCTCCACATAGCATTTGACAACGGGGAACACCGACTCACCATCTATGAGGTGGCGGTAAATCAGTGAGAGCTCAAGTTGATAGCCAAAATTTAGTACAAAAGATAAAATGGCTCTATAATCGCGTGTTTCTATTAGGGGCATCTAAATACAAAGTTTCTGCCTCTTGATGAACACTCATGTCAAAAATTTCACGGTTATATCTGCTTTTCTGCAGTCGACGAGAACCGAGAAATTTTTATAAATATGAAGCCAACTGGAGTTATCATTTTGAGACACAAGATTCATTTTATTTCGTTGAAAATTATTATCGAACACGATACCGGCTGACTCCATGCTCTACCACAAAAAGCAAATGATTCTCATTTGGAGTCACCTCTCACAAGTTTGACTGGCGTGGAAAGCAACCGAACATTGAAAACGTTAAAACCACTAAGCGAATACTTTTGGTTGATTGTTGTAGTAAAATTTCAAAATACTGTGGTTACCGTTCCAAATAACAAAATTATGTTGATAGTTCAAAAAACCGACTTTTTGCAAACCTCGGCAGAAATAGTTGATATATTTATTTACATGATCTTGCAAACTGATCTTGTTGAGCTAATTCGAAGCTGGTGTAATTTTTCGTTGTTGTTGTCATTGGTGTTGTTGATGTTGTTGTTGTTGTTGGTGGTGTTGTTGTCGGTGTTGTTGTTGTTGGTGGTGTTGTTGTTGGTGTTGTTGATGTTGGTGTTGGTGTTGTTGGTCGATGGCTGACGCTTCGGCGATTTCGCCTTCCTCACAGCCGCGCTGTTACGAGTGGAACTGTTGACAGTGGTTAAAAAAGTGATGATTGAAAAGAAAATTCAGGCCGTGACATCTAACATGCTTGATGGTTCGATGTGGGAACCTGGCGGGCTTTCTCAGCGTTTCTCAGAAGAGGGTTCTAGGTATTGATGGATTTCTGGTGTTGCGAAGTCCTTAAGAAAAATATCCTGAAGTTAAGGTTGGCAACAATGAGAGCTGAAATATTGACCGCAAACTGTTCGGGACACTGCCGTTTCTACGAGCATCAGTCACCATTACACCCCGAATTGCCGGTTAGGTACGCCGACTTTGGCGTCATAAGAAGGTACTGAATGTGAGAAAGTGTTATTTTTGTCTCAAAAAAATTCTTTTTAATAAATTGGCAAGTGCTTGCGACTGTCCAGTTTGACTTCTTATTGATTAAACCATGAGAATAGAGGGTTCGGTCTTGATGCATTGTTATGTTAAACTCATGCATCTAATTTCATTCGTAACATCGTGTATGCTTTTAACACACATTTAATTTAAGCAGCGACCTGTTGAGTCCTACCGGCGTCTCAAGAGAGTGTTTTTTCCCTCCCAAACAAAGGCAGTATTAATTTTCCGACTCCGAAAGGATGAAGAGGCGGAGAATAGGAACCACATAAAAAACCTTAATAATTCGAAAGACCGACTATCTATAAACCTCGGCATAGATAGTTGATATATTTATTTATATGATCTTATAAACTGTTCTTCTTAAGCTGACGCGAGGTTGGTAGTCCCACACGTAACATCACGGCTCTGAGGAAGGTAAAGTCGCCGAAACGTCAGCCATCGATCAACAGCATCAAAAACCACGACAACGACAACGAAGATCTGTACCAACCTCGCGTCAGCTTAAGAAGATCATGTAAATAAATATATCACATAAATGACCGCTCAGAAAAGGGTTGCCGTAGTCCAAGAAAAGATAACGGATGTGGAATTTGGACAAAAGATAAAAACAAAAATTTGAGAGAATATTTAACAACTAACTGTTTTAGCTAGATAGTCCACTCTCGCAAAAGACGTCATAAGGACACAGAAACAGCCAAAAACGACATAAAACCCATTAACTAACCAAAAAACGGTCTAATAAAAAAATTAAAAAAGTAATAATAAAATATAAAAACGCAAGCTTGAGGCCTTGCTAAAGATTTCGAAGCAGTTCCTACATGCGAGAACATTGCATATCCAACTTGTCCAAATTTCGAGAATCGATGGAGTGCAGCACCCACTGAATTTGCCGTACACCTATCGCTTCAACCAGGACGATTCTCACATTTTCTGCCGAACCGACCAAATCGCTCAAGAAGTAAAGGCGAGTGTTCGTGTTAGAGAATTCATAAAATCCCACCTGAAAAATTTATAACTTATCTATAGTTGTGTCGGATCAAGGATTTTCCTGACGCCCTTTCAAATAGAAAAAAAGAGGTGAAAGTCAATGAAATCAACGCAATGAAGAACAGAGAATGTAAATTTCAGGCCAGCCTTGACTTCTTATCGTTTTTCTACAAAAAAGTAATGAAGTACGACGTCGAGTTTGAGCTTGCTACACGACCGAAACGATCGGCCGATTTTGACACAGAAGAGACTAGAGTTAGCAAATTTTTTCTTCGTATCACTTGCAGATAATCGTGTGAGAACCAGGAACGCTACTGTTTATTCAGCTCATCCACTACAGCGGGCCAGATTGTTGTGTTCTCTCAAAGGACACAAAAATCATTACAATTTCTTACGAGATCCTTTATTTCATCCATAGTTGGCGTAAAATCTTTCAGGTTATCCTGTCACAAGTAGCTTGCGGTGTTCTGCTGTGGCATAGGTGTACTTTGATCGTGCATTTAGATGGACACATAGGCTTATGTGTGGCCCCGGTGGGAGAATCTCCCCTAAAACCCTATTTGTAAATCGGAGTTATACTACCAGAACTACACCAACCTCGACAAGACAGTGAAGTGAAGACGACTAATAGATAAATTTGGAGTTGTGGAAGGTTGTGAGCATTCAAAGCCATAGCACGTACGGAAACATCTGTCAGTTGCATGACGAAAGCAGGGAAGAAGAAATGAAGTTTTGTGTCTTCCTTTGCTTTCTAAACCCAGTGGTTTAGAGATGGAACGACGTTGAAGAGACCTTAAAGGCTGCGTTTGGAGAAGAATGCATTCCTTTGAAAGTAAACAGTGATGCTGCACCCTACTACGGCCCGAGAGTATGGTAACAGCGTTTTCATTGTCGAGAACTAGTTGACAACCTTCAGACAATTTTCTCTAGATTAATATCGTTATGCGAGATCCTTATGGTCGTTTTTACTTACATGGTTGGATGCAGCTAGATTTCGAACTGCCGGAGCGCTTGGGCCTGAGCTATGTAGGGTAAGTAGTGAGGAATTATCGTTGGAGTCAACAAGAATATGTACCGTAAATTGTTGACATGTTGCTCCGTTTTTGAAAAATCTAAAAATACTTGGTACCTTTCGTTGGATCTGTTTCTGTTGACAAAGTCTTTTGTTGTGACAGTCTAGTCTTTTGTGACAAAATCTTGATTTGTTACAGAGAAAAGCAGCTATGCTTGATCGCTGTAATAGTTGGACAAGTTGACGTTGACTTGTTTTTTGTTTTCTGGTGGTACAAAGACAGCAATATGCTACAATAACTGAGATTCGGTTTGCTGTGCTAGCCTCGAGTGCTTTGTCAGCTGATTAATCGTAGCATTAACTGCCATCGCAACAGTCGCAGTCATCCAGGAAAAGTCCGATTAGCAAGGCCCTTCCCTCCAGCCCACATAAGATAGCAACTGCTTGTGATGAAAACCACAAAGCGCCCTTGCAACGCTATCTCAGGCACGAAATAAAATTCACGCTCGACCAGCGTTCAGCATCGGAAAGAAGGACAAAGTCGACAGATTTTTGAAAACTTTGGACCACAATGGAAGGATTATAGGATGCGCTGGGATCCGTATGAAGTATAAAGACGGGTCATCTAAGTACATAATTATCAAACTTAATACATATAATCTTAGCCATTTTATTTACTGCTTATTCTTTTTAATGGCAGAGTATTTTGCGAAATATAACTACTATAATGCTGAGATATTTGCAAAACTCCGGACCGCAGGTGTCTGCGGTGGGGAACGAACGCGCTATTGTCCTTCCCGGGGAGTAACGCGTTCATCACCACACCATGCGGCAGACACCTGCGGTCCGGAGTTTTGCAAATATCTCAGAATTATAAAAGTTAATAAATATAATTCTTTCTATTTCTGTTTAGTAAACACAGGGTATTATTTTATTCCTTTATTCACGTATAAGCTGACGCTTTGGCGGATTTCGTCTTCCTCAGAGCCTAGAAAGGTCAAGTTGACTGCAATCTACACGAATAAACACCTCCATAACAAAACAGAGAAAATGCTGAACCAAAATTTCAGTCACATTGAACACAGAGTCTTTGCACACTCACCGCTTTCTATGAGTCTTCCACTAAATATGTCACGTGGAGACCAACCGCACAGAGTTCACATGGAACCTCGTGAGTTTTGCACGCTTGTGTTCTCGATTCCTGCGCGAGGATCGTAACCTCTACTTGAAAATCTTATACATTATGTCTCTACGTCCTATGCGTGCCTAGTGGAGTATTTGGTTTACGTTTGCCGACTAGGTGTTCTTTTATGCGGACACAGAGGGGTCTGCCCGTTTCGCCAATGTGTTCGTCTCCGCACGCCTTACAGGAGATCAGATCAGATAAACTGTACCCGAGCTCATGCAATCACCGTCTCTACCATTAGGCCAAATTATGCAATTTTGCGTTCCACGTTGACGGGCACATAGGTGGTTACGAACTAGCTGGCATCTTAGATTAGTCGGTGGCATTTCAATTATCGTTACTCAATTCTCTAGACCGTCCCTTCTTAAACAGCGTTTTATAGCTGCACTTACTTCATTCGAAATGAAGGGCGGGATAAACGGGACCTTATCGTCGCTAGAATTATCGTTGGGGGACCTGTAGTTTCCTTTACACCCAACCCGAGCTACAGTTTCGTAGCCAATAAAAATGGCTATTTGCCGCGCCAAGTTCCGGGACTCCTTTCTCTGCTCCCTTTCCTGTGCACACGCTGATAGCTGTTCGAGACATGTTTCTCACAAGCTCCCTTTTCGCGTGAGAAGGGTGAGAGAAGAGCTAATGAACCATGGTATTTCTACTACTTGGCCTTCGATACCATTTCGTAGCGTAGTCGTTTTCTGATAGGTCTCTGCGCACATATAAAAGAACACCTTGTTGGGAAACGTAAACCAAATACTCCACTACGCGCGCCTAGGACGCAGAGACATGACGGAGAGGATTTTGAAGCAGGAGTTACGATCCTCGCACAGGAATCGAGAACACAAGCGCGCAAAACTCTCGAGGCGTTCCGGATCAATTCCAAGAATACCAAAATGAAGCGCAGGAAGGAATGCCCCATTATCACGCGTGATATTGGGCAGTATATAAATTTGTTATTCTGATGAGATGGGCACATTGCGACTCCATGTGAACTCTGTACGGTTGGTCTCCACGTGACATATTTAGTGGTTACTCATAGAAAGCAGTGAGCGTGCAAAGACTCTGTGTTCATGACTGATACTGTTGTTCAGCATTTTCTCTGTTTGGCTATGGAGGTTTTTGGCCGAGTGGATTGCTGTCAACTTGACCCTTCCAGGCTCTGAGGAAGGCGAAATCCGCCGGAACGTCAGCTTGTACGTAAATAAAGAAATAAAATAACACCTCGTGTTTGGTAAGCAGAAGTAGAAAGAATTATTCAATCAATACCGAGGTTAATAAAAAGTCAGACGTAGGGGTTAATAAATATAGATGAACAGCACCTTAATGTCTTTATTTCTAGTGAGGATGGAAGTCGCCTTCGACCAGTGTTAATTCATCGAGCGTTGGTCGCTCCAGTAGAGATATTTCTATGCATTATCCTCACCGATTGTCAACAACTGTTGCCATTTTGGTTGTCTCCTAGGCAGGTCGGCGCTGGTTGTTTGCACTGATTCCAAAACGTTTGTTCAGTAATACTTTCCATTGCCGTTATGGTGAAGTAGTTGTAGTGAGACTTCACATAGTAACAAGTGCGCAGAATATCATTGCTTCACCAATTTCGTAAGGTCTTTATCAAATCCTAATTGATCCCATCTTTCACCAACTGATTTCGAACGACCAACTCTTTGACTGCTTCCTACGTCCTTGGTCATCTTCCTTTCTACGTACTTAACAAAACCCTACTCGCTAACTCGTCCGTGATCACTATCTTCGCAATTCTGAGTGTAGAGGTTTACTTCACCTAAACTATTCGCTACAGTGTTAATAACATCGTTTCTTCTTTGTTCTCCCGTAACTACGTTTTGTTAAGGTGTCATTGGTCGCCGTTTCTACCGAATCAACTAAATATGCACATAGGGTAGCGGAAGAGCTAATCGATGGGAATTTCGAAGTGCCTCCTGCTATTTTGTATACTATTCCTCAGCTAATTGATGGAGTTCTTAAACATGTTCAGATCAATTCTGACTTTGACTTCAACGGGCCTCTTAATAAACGAATAAAAGCAGCGGTGGAAGCTGGATACACTTTCATAATTGTGGTAGGGAGCGCAGAATCTATGCATAAAACAGTGACTCTCCGTACGAGGCGCAATGATGTAAGTGAATAATAGGGTTTTTTTACAGTTTAATGAAATTTAGTGAATGATGTGGAAGTTGGAAGAAAGCTGTTGATGTGGGAAAGAGGCCATCGGTGCTACATTCTCTTATAAAGGGATTGAGTGGGATGGGCATAGTGTCCAGTGTGACTTCTATGAAGGCAATCTTTTCTGGTTCATTTTAGCTCAAAAACTCTTTCCCTCACATTTTGTGTAAATAATGAATAGCTCAGAGGAGACGGATTTGCGTCCTCATTGAAAAACTCTTCTAAGCAAAAATTCAGTTATGTTCCAAAACCTGGTTTTTGAAAGAGCTTATTATTTCGGCATTTGGCTAGCATGATTCCTGCTGGTGTGGCGACCAAAGCTACGAGAAACTAGGGGTAGCCTCGCAGGTGTTAAAACCACGCGCTTCACATCTACCGCATTTACGACTGACTAGCATTGATTGACGAGCTCAGCGCCAGTCAATACGTCGTCTAACCAATCCATAAGTACAATCTCTAACTAATCCATAAATACTATCTATATGGCAGCCTGCTGGAGTATAGTACCATATACTGTAAACTTGCAGGTGCTCGGTGAGTTCCCGCTCGACGATGTGCTGAGTGAATTTCGACGTTTTGTGGACGAGCATTGTAGCGACGACCAGTGTTACGAAATGCTTGAAAAGAGTCCACGATATCAGGAACCTCCTTTATGTGAATGAAAATTTGCGCTTTACGGATGTTATTTTATGCATACTCCACACTTTCTCGTAGATATGTACTTAGCTTAAAGTCACAGTATCCAATCTGTGGCGTTGTCACAATGTTTTGCTCCGCCGTTAGTCCCACATCTTACAGCTTACTTACTATGAGAGCCGATGCAGCTGATGAAAATTTCAAAGCTTCAAAACTACAATCGCCGTTGTCGGATGTAATGACACCATGTCCCTCCAGCGCTCTTTGAACGATTTCACAAAACAGAGACTGAAATCAAATTTCTTGAAGGCTTAACTGCTTTTTTGTGCACGAAAACATCATTTTTTTTCACTTTGGCGTCGAACGAGAATCGAAATGTTTTTAGGCTACATTCGCTAAATAGGAGCGAAATGTGAAAAGAATGCATATTGATCGGGGAAAGGTGTTCTATTTCGCTCTGACTGTACGTACACTCTGATGCATATTTCGGCTTCAACGATGAAAACAAAACTGCACATAAAAACACCTAAACATCCGAAATAGCTCTTCTTTCAACAGATACTGATATGGGGAAAAATTTTACGATGACTTAAAAACGCCAACTATTATGCGACAAAACACCTCAAAAGAGGCGATTTGTTGATAAGAATGGTATTTGGTACCGGACTTCTCTGGGAAGAAATCCCTCTATGCAATCCAATTGGGCTATCTCAGGACTCCAGAGGGAATCGCTCGACCAGCGTTCTACGACATTCATAATAAAACGAAAATCAAGCAGCAACCGAAGCCACACGTAAAAGTTGGAAGATCTTGGACAATGGATGCGAGGAAACGAGTCGAATGCGACAAGTCCTGGGTTCCGCACAGTACACGTGAAGACGGTGATATAAATAAAGAAAATAAAAAAATGACATTTGAAGGGATTCTGTGGCCCTCCAACTTCACAGTGATAGAATCTAGCACTCTATTCAAATGTACTCTGGCGTGTTATGTAAGTGGGAAACAGCTCCTCTAGACACACTTATTCAGGTAATCATCCACTTTTGTCATACAGAAACGCCTGTTCCTTTTCGTATTCTATCTACTGAAATTCAACTTGTGCTCCTTCACATCTTCGGTTCCAATTTTGTCTTTATTTTAACTTATCATTTACTGCCTACTCTTTTTAACGGCAGGGTATACCATTGAAGTTATATTTCGCAATATATACCCTGCCGTTAAAAGAGTAGGCAGTAAATAATAAGTTAAAATTGTGATTATAACTGCGGCCTCAGCTTAACTGGGTTCGTTGCCGATTTGGGCCCCCCAGATCAATCCCGCTGACGGGTGATTGCTGATGGCAAAAGATCGATAGAACTACCAGAGAGACAGGCGAAACGAAGGACCCGCGTGGTGTGGTGGTGAACGCGCTACTCACCGGAAAGGACAATAGCGCGCGTTCCTGTCTCACCGCATACACCTGCGGTCCGGAGTTTTGCAAATATCTCAGCACCATTGAAGTTATATTTGTCTTTATTATTCTTCGACCTTGTACATTGTCACCAATGAAATGTGTTCGATATATGACATAAGTGCTTAAGAAGTATATATAAGGCGTATTGAAGGCCATGCTAGGAAATGAGTTTAAAAAAACTTCTCCTCCTCACTTTCTAATCCATCCCAGGCCCTATAAAGCGTAGAGTTTGGGAACATCGTTGATTTTAGGGCATTACCGTTCATTTCTACAAAGTTTCGTTTATTAGTGACCTTTCTACTTCAAAAAAATTCACCTCTAATCACCTAGTCAGGGCAGCACCTGATATTTCCTCTCATTGTCCAAGTTGCCTAGAAGACAATACTTGTCCGATCGTCATGATCTCCGTACTTTTATTCCGAGTGCTACCCTGCATCCTTGTTAATTCCAGTGTAAATCGGCCACTTATGCTCCATCATCTAAGGCTCGCTTGGCACCGCGGGTAATAAGCTCTTGTCTCTAGTTGTGATCGAAATACATGGAGGAAAAAATAGAAGATAGAGGTTAAGAAAGTTGTGAGGTTGACATTGCAACCTCGTTCCTTTCAATCCCTATAACTTCAATCATTTGATAAACCGCAAAAACGTTTTTGTTTCATTATACGCTGTTGATAATGGTAGAACTCATTGCGGGTGTAACAGTAAAGCAAATGTCACAGCTTCCTATCCTTCTTTCTTACTTCTAACATTTCTGAAACCTTGAATGGAGAATTAGATCCTTTGCTAACAAAGATAGCCTTCTTGTTGGAGTATAACGTTCGTTGTAACATCCTGTTTGCGATATATCCATTCCATCTGAACTACGGTTATACTGTTTCTCGGTCCTTTCTTGCAACCTTGTACAATCCGTCAGAACGGTTAACCGGTTGGTCATGCAGACGCAATCGGACGAGACCAGCGATTTACACTGATCATGAAGCCCGTAGCGACTGAGAAGTTTGTAATACATCGTTCTTATAACATCAAGATTTAGCCAAACGGGAAATGCTGGCTGTGTTTAATAATGAATGTGGAAAAGTTGGTCCTCGACTAAGTCTCACGAAGGCGATAATGAAGAACAGATTTGTTTTCGATGCCCCATTCACGCTCAGCAGAATGAATATATCCAAATATTCCAGTAATGTGTATCTAGGTCGTGAAGCCAACTTAGTGAATGATTTAGCTCTAGAGTGGAGCAGTAGGAAGCAAGTGCTTTAGGGTGCCTTCTAGGTCATCATGTACATGTAACACATGTAGCGAACATGTAGCGAAGAGGGGCAAGAACACGGCATTGTACGCCCACGCTTCGACTCCATGCTTCCTCGTTGTAATCCTGGTTACACGGGCAGCATGAAAGCTCACTCTGCGTTGTCGAAAGCGCAGTCGGTAGGGCGATGTTGGGAGTATTCCGAACAATGCGAAAGAGAGGGAATTTGAAGCTCTAACTCACTTAAACGATCAAAAGTTAGAGATGCCGTTATTAACGCCAAATTGTCGAAAATCGGGCAGAGCGGTTATGTGATGCCTTCACAAAGGTCCTCCAAGAAAGATATGATGCTCAATGAGTGCATAGAGCGACCAGAGTTCGTCACGATACTCTCCATGCGACAGAGACAAATAGAAAGTTTATCAGCACCGGCTCGAGTTACCTAACAATCAATAGGGGGAGTACTGACACAGGTAATGGCTTCGGCGCAACAGAACAGCCGGCTTGCTTGAGCACTTCGATAGGTACAAACAGTAGGCCCGTCAACCTTGCATTGGTATAGGTAAAAAAAGAATAAAGCTCTCGGCGTTGATCAATCCCTGAGAGATGCGCCATACATTCGACTTCATTAACCATCACAGGAGGTTACTGAATGCATATCTGGCCTTTACAACGACTCGCGACGACCTGCCGATGTATCGAGTCAGTGCTGTTATTCTCCCAGACAAGTCTGGTACCAATCTGCCGACCCGCAGGGATGGAAGGCTTGGTGGGCCATAGACGCGGGGATCGATTCCACGTGTGTGTCGTAGTGGCACCTCCAACCACCTCGAGTATGGCTTTTATTGTGGAGTGGTCATATGCGCGTCAAGAAAGTAGCTGGCGTCCGACAGCATCCAGTGCTATTTCAATCACTGCTACTGAACTCTCTAGACTGGCCACTCTTAAGCAACTTTTCATAACTGCATTCATTTCACTGGACATAAAGGGCAGCATAGACGGGGGTTTACTCTCGCCAGAATTATAGTTCGGTTTGGGAGTACTTTTTCTTCTACACCTTACCAGAGCAGCCACAGTTTCGTAGCCATATCCAGTGGCTGTTTTCCGTGCCAATTTCAGGGATTCTCCTTCTGCTCTTCGTGCACAAAGCGGCGGCTATTCGAAACATGTTCTTCATAACCGCCTTTTCGTGCGTTAGATATGAGAGGAGAGGTTATGAACCAGAGCACTTTTTACTTCGCTTTTGGTACCTTCTACTCTTGTAGCCACTTTTAGACAGCAGAACACGAAAGCGACTGGATTGGAGCTAAAAAAATATTTACGGAAGGCTGTGTCAATGAATATTTCCGAAATTTGCGCTTTAAGAATATAATTTTGAAAGCTCATTTCTTCTCCAACTGATCATAGTTTCCTAACCGCGTCAGTATTTGAGGAGCTAACAACTTCTCAGATTCACAGAAAAGAGTTCGTTCGATCACATTAGCCATTATATATCACTTGTAAAACCTGATGTCTCGTTGATCGTCGAGTGACTCGAGTGGGCGCTAGTAAATCTTCCAACTTTCCCTGTCGCGTGCAAGAGTAGCCCAGTGGATTCTGCTCGCTCTAGGAACTCTTTGAGCATCGCACCTTTCTTCCAGACTTTCCGCGAAGAACTCTGACCATCGAGTCACCGGTCTTCCTGCAGTACGTTTGACATCCTGCGGAATCCAGTCACTAACGGCTTTTGTACACCGGTTGTCGTTCATGCGCATTACATATTCGGCACACCTTATCAGTTTGACGTATAGAAAAACATGTTTGGTTTTTGATCGTTGAAGCGGGTCAGAGCTTCCTATCACTTACCTTACCTGTGTGATATGGGATACTTCTAACATCATCGTTTCGACTGCGCGTTCAATAACGCGGAGTGGTCTTTCACCCTGCTTAGATATCGACCAGGTTTCTGACGCATATGTTAAAGCAAGAAGTATTGTGGAGTCGAGAAGGTAGGCACGGAGACAGGTGTTTTTTTTATGCTCCACACTACATCCTCAATGCGCTCGAAAGCCCTCCAAGCCCAAGTTTTCCGCTTCCTCCTGCTCACCTTAGAATGAATTCGCTCCTCATATTGATTTCCCTACGTAGATAGACGTAGCTAGAGCGTTTGGAGACATGCGTGCCGTTGAAACTGAATGAGGAAAGAGTAACCAATCTATTCCTCATGAACATCGTTTCATGAAGTTCAGTGCAAGACAAGTTTTTCCACATGAAAGGAGGCGAGCATTCTTTCTGCTTAACTATGTTTGCTGTTATAAGAACGATATCATGAGCAAAGCAAAGATGGTGTAATTGCCGACCACCGATTTCACTTCCACGTTATCCCATCCCATTGTTCCCATGACGTTCTCGAGAGTGGCGATAAATAATTTTGGAAACATGGTTTCGCCTTGTCTAACTCCTCTTTTGACGTCGATGTTAATATCGCGGTAGAATGGTGATATTTTGGTTGTGAAATTTTTGTACAGCTCACGAAAGATTTTGGTGTGCTGAGTCGGGACTCCCTGACGATCCAGGGCTTCCCTGACCGCTCGTACACATCTGAGTCAAAATCCTTCTTGATATAAATGAAAGCTCCTGTACTCTCGCGATAGTTCTGTGAGTCTTGTTACCGTGTATATGTGGTCTATCGTACTAAATCCTCTTCGAAACCCTGCTTGCTCACATGACTGTCCTTCGTCCAGTGTTCTGTCAATCCTGTTTAGGACGACTCGAGTGAAAAGTTTGTAGACGACAGACAGTAAGCAGATTGGGTGATAGTATCCGATATCGTGCATGTCACCCTTCTTGGACAATAATAGGGTCTTGCTGGTCTTCCACTGAGTAGGGGCCACGCATTCAGACACGCAACGTGTGAAGAACCGAGCCAGTGTCTTTATGAGGGCTGGCGGAAGGTTCTTCGGGTGTTCTGATCCTATCCTGTCTGGTGCTTCTTCGATTTTTTATCGACGAAATGGCATGTTGGATTTCAGAAGAGAGAACCGATGGTAGAACATATCCATTCTCTATTTCATACAACGGGGGGCGGACGTGGCTATCGACGAGATCTGAGTAATATTCGTGAATGATTTTCTCCATTGCCTTTCTGGACGCTGTAACTGTTCCGTCTGAGCGTCGGAGCGCAATCATCTTGGTCTTGTAAATGGTGAAGCTCCGGTGGGCTTTGCGAATGCTTTTCTCCGCCTCTGGAGCTTCGACTATTACTGCTGCTCTTCTCTCTTTAAAATCTTCTTTTAACACCTCTCTGCATTGTTTTGCAAGTTCGGACGTTAGTCTGCGGTTGCCTGCAGCTCGTGCGATTCCACGCTGGCCTATCAGCTCGAGTGTTTCTGGAGACAGACGTCTCTTGGTGACTTCCGAACTCCGAGCTTTCATAGCGTTTGCGTCAAAATGTTGAATGAGCCGATCGTATTCTTCGTCGATATTATGGACAACGGCATTTTCCCAACAGCCGACTAATGAATTAAATAAGTCCCACTTTGCGGTGGTTCTGGGACTTCGGTTTTTGAATTTAGTGGCTTTTTCTCCTTTCCGTCAGATATGATATCTTGCACGAAGACGATGACCTGGTCCGGTGTAGAATTTTGAGACAACAGCGACATAGGTAAGGCAAAACCTTAGATCTACTATGATGTGATCTTTTCGATGTGGCACCCTCTACTGAGGGACTCCCACGTCCAGCGTTGAGGCTGGGACTTCTGGAATTGGAGTTACCATGAACAGTTTTGGTCGTCGTGATAAACTCAGACAGTCGCTAAACCTGCTCGTTCCATTGTAATCCGTTAGTCCCAATGTTACGTTCTTTAGACGTTCTTCTTAGTCCAGTCATAGCGTTGAAATCTCCAACGATGACCTCGAAGAATGTACGGTCTACCTTGTAGAACTTCTCCAAGTCCATATATAACATTTAAACTTTTTCTTCGTCATACTTTGAGGTAATCGTTTAAATAACGAAGATTGTCAAAGCCGTTATTAATCAAGATCTCTTCAAAGCACCAAGTGATGAGTGCGCGATGAAGCTATTCTGTGTTCAATATGGTTGAAGTGTTGGTTTAGCACTTTCTCTGTTTGGCTATGGAGGTGTTTGACTGGATAGACTGCGGTGAACTTGAGCTTTCCAGGCTCTGAGGAAGGCGAAATCAGCTGAAACGTCAGCTTGCTCTTGAATAAAAAATAAAATAACAACTCGCGTTTGCTCAACAAGAATGTAAACAATTATTTGATCAATGCCGAGGTTAATAGAAAGTCGGTCGTGGAATTTATTTTATTCTTCTTTTAAAGTGGTCAGCATGTTATTGATTAACGTGATTAGTCAATGACCATTCTGCAGAACAGGCTGTTCCCTCAGTAGATACTCCTATACTACTTACTTAATACTTGAACGGCCCGTCCTCACTAGTTGTGCGGGCCTCAGCATAATCACCAATTTTCGGAGATTTGCTGGTTAGGCCACTGTAGTTCCCTGGAATCCCGAGGACAGGCTGGCCAAAGCCTGCGCCAACACACTCCTATAGCTTTTCCTAATTCTACACTAATTCTGAGATAGCGACTGAGAACAGTGGAAATGAACGGTTATCACTGACTGAAATTTCTCAATACTTCGTAACGATTTAGATCAGATTTGTTTCTCGGAATCGTTAGCGTGCGTTTAAGAAAAACATAGACGATGTAGGAGAACCACCTTAGATCACAAATACAGATGTCAAGTCTAGTTTGTAGGTTTTCCCAAGACCAACTTTCCGTTAACCTCGGCATTGATTGATAATTCGATATTTTTCTTCAATGAGCAGACACGAGGTTGTTATTATAGAACTATAGGACTGCCCTCGATCATGTATTACTCTGTGCGGCTGCTATCCAGTAATTAACTAAAATACTTACGACGGATAAACGGCTCTGAAGAAGGCGAAACTGCCGAAACGTCAGCTATTGTGTCCTAAAAATTCTATAATAACAACCTCGTGTCTGCTTATTGGAGAAAAACATCGAGTTTGAAGGTTGTTTGTAACTAGAACGAAGAGACATATTGGCTTTACTGAAGCTCTGTGCCTGCCACAGCTCTCGTTAGGACTCCTCACTCACCTTTGCTTTCTTCCGGTCAGTTGTAAGTAGCAAAACTGTACATATTCATTAATGTGAGATACACACACACATTAGTACTGAGATAGGAGGAAAACTAGGACCCTCATTTGTGCGTCGAACCCACGATTACACGTTAGCTTCGGACAAGCGACAGAGTGTTCGATGCGAAACTGAGGTTCCGAGCTTTGCTCATATCTGTATTTACATTTCACATGATACTCTGCCATGATGAAAGAATAGGCAGCAAATAAAAGTTAGAACGTTATTCATGAATTGGCTCAAAGGACTCAAAAAATAATTTCATCTATTTGCTACGTTGTACCTAAAGATAATCTTCACACTCTTGGTTATATTCTGACTAAGGTGCATGCACTCCGTGAACGTTACTATGTTCTACAGCTGAGAGACAGGCGAAACGAAGGACCCGCATAGTGTGGTGGTGAACGCGTTAGTTCCCGGAAAGGACAATAATGTGTTCGTACCCCACCGCATACACCAACGGTCCGGAGTTTTGCAAATATCTCAGGATCATCTTAGTTGTATTTCACATGGTACCATGCAATGAAAAATTATAACAGGCAGTAAATATAAAGGTTAAGACTAAGTTTTACAGTTCTGAACGAGCTTTGATGCCTAAAATCTTCAAGAAATTTCATATATTCCAGATTTTAGTGCCATATTTGCATAAAAGATGTCACGAAACAATTTTTTTTCAGAAATGAAGTGATGAAATGTGTGGTTACCGTTTAAGCTAAAATGTAGAGTGTTCCCTACTGTGCAGGAAGAAAATGTGCTCCGATGGTGAAGTACTGCCTTAATCGAGAAGTTGTCCTCCCAGCAATTGATTTTTCATTGCGAGATGCACCGGAGGTTAGTTTCGTATCGTCCTTTAGTTCGTCATGGAGCTATTCAGGAGTAGTTGTTAATCCATTGTTGTGGTTAGAGCTGTGTGACCGTCGACCGACAATCCTGTCGTGTCTTAGCGGGTGTTTCGAGGAGAAACCACCTTTCCATATTGCACTTTTACTTTCTAGAGGGTTGTTCATGTAGTCCATTCCTCTGAAGTTGATAAGGTCAGTTGTCTCGATTTTAGCAATTCTACACTTGAGCAAGAATGATCTATACTTCGAACTGAACTGTAGGAAATGTTAGACGAAGGACGTCTTCCACATCGCCCTCACTTGGAACTGAGCTTTGCTCCTCCACAGGATGAGAACGACCTACTGTATGTTCATCTGTTTGCTTTCTTGAGGATTTTTAACCTTTCCAAAAAAAATGTTACGCATATTATTACTGGTTTTTAGTATTACTGTGCAATCAACTATAGTCGATTACATTAAAACACCTTCTTCGTAATATTCGACCTACTATTGTCACTCTTTTTAAACATAAAGATCGCTTTAACTCACTACGACGACATTTGCGAGCTTTACAGAAGTACGCTTTCAACGGGTACATTGAAGCTTCCGGATGATGATGTCGTTTACACTTTTACCGCTTCGGACCTCCGGGACTGCGGTAAAATTGGTAGTGGAAATTTCGGGTCAGTGTATAAAATGATACACAATGAAAGCGGAAAAGAAATGGCTGTTAAAGTTAGTGTGTCTACCTTTTCTTTTCAATTGTTAGTTTCCCATGTTTTCCAGTTGTGGTAAGGTTGTGGTTCTTTACATAGTTGTTTCTTTTTTTATAGCTACGTCTTGTAGTTATTTGTCTGACGAATCTCGATTTTATTCAAATATACCGATGAACCTCCCAACAGTTTACTGCCTCATTTTGGCTGGGTGTTCCTGGGTTTCGGGCTGTGATGTACAGTGGGAAGATTCATCCACGCAGCAAGGCCTCCCAATCTGAGAAGGAGTCTGGCGTTTGCATCAGGAAGCCCAGCTAAGAGTAAACCAATACCGCGTTCCACCACCGTCCTGGTATCAAACTAGTCGCATGGTAGCACATTTCCTTCTGCTTCAAAAGTGTCGCGACTGCCTGCGGTGGTGACGACCTGGGGCAGATTTTGGTTAGGCTGGCCCAGGGACTCCAGGGAAACACGTTGGCTAAACCAGCAAAACTCCGAGAGGTGAAGATTATGCTGAGGCCCGCACAACCAGTAAGGGCGGGCCGTCCAAGTGTCTAGGTATACCTATGAATGAAATGAGAAGCGTTGGATTTTGTCAAGTTTGGCTACGTGTATAATTAGTTTGTTGGAGTTAAAAATTAATTCGAAATGGCAAAATGGTTGAAAAATGTTTTATTTTAGTGTGAGACTGTTTGTTCTGTCTTGCTACATGATGCATAGGATATAGGGCCATCCTGAAAACTTCAGTTCATACATGGCCTTTTTTCTGGGGAACATCCATAAACGTAATTCAAGATATGTAATTATTATCGAATGTTGCTCTTCTTCTCACTGTTGATTATAGAAATACTAACGAATTAGGTTTTTCTTAGAAACAGTTCTCCCTAAAGGATTTATCAGCTCATAATGGATGGGGTGTGTCTAAATATTGAACTGCAATGTATAGCAACGTTTCACTGGAACCAGTGACCACTCACGTTTTGCACGGCACCTGTAGCCGCTGGTTTTTCCACGTCCTTTGCAAAATTGGCTAAATATTATGTGCATAAACATGAAAAGTTTTTCATGAAAATATGTATTCAGAGGATTCGTTGCAACAATATAAGCAGTCGTGAGCAGGAGAAGATTATTCGTGAGCATGACACCATAATGCGATCGGAAAAGTGTACAAAAATAGTAAAATATTTTGGTGCCATTCTTCATGAAGTGAGTACTTTGTCTTTTGTCTCCTTTATCATCCATAACAATATTAAGATAATCGTTTTTGAACACTCGCTTTGCCAACTTGTCTGTTTTGCTTTTGACTGTTTTTGATCCAACATTCTTAGCGCCATTACCAAGGTTTTAAGGGCGACTGTTGGATTTGCATGGAATTTATGGATATCTCGCTAGATATCCTTTATAAGCGAGTCTATAATCTACACCATACAAGATTTCATGAAAACGTCATTGGACATATTGCCGTTTCTGTGGGTTCCACAAGATTATTGTTTTTTTCTTTTGTAATCGTTCCATTGATTCAGTTAGATTGTGCTCTTTTGATTTAGGTGATCGATGCGCTTGATTACCTTAAGAGTCAATTGAAGATCATACATAGAGGTGAGTAATGAGCAAATAGTTTGCATGTAATTGTTCAATGGTTGCGAAATTAACTGGTTACATGTAGAGTTTTATTAAATTTTCTCGGAAGTATTTCTTTTTAGATAGAAAATCTCTGACGGTGTATATATTAGTTAGTGGTTGGTGAAGAGCTTTTGATTAACACAAAATATTAATAACAAACTAGGTGAGAGAAAAGAGAAACGAAGGACGCGCATAATACGGTGGTAAACGTGTTAACTCCCGGAAAGAGTAGTAGCGTGCTCGATCCTCAGCGCTGGCACAAGTGGTCCGGAGTTTTGCAAATATCTCAGCATCGTTGTGGTTGACATCTGAAGTAATTTGAAATATTGCAAATTTGGAAAAAATGAGTGGTTTTGCAACATTTAAATTGTGCGCTGTAAATGGGTGGTTTTCCAAGATGATACGTTCTTCCAACCTCACAAACGTGTGCCTTGTTGCGAAAACGAAACAAAGGACTGCGTTGTTGATTCATGTCCTTCTCCATAGCCTCCTCGAAAGATGATTTGTTGGGTAACTGCTGTCTTGGGCACTTTTGAGTCATCAAATAAGTGTTGCACGAGAGACCGGAATACTAATATTTCAAACAAAATACGATATTTAGTGGTCGTCTTGCTATTGTTAAACGCAATGTTATCATAATGAACGAAAAGTGATGAACATTTGAACAGCGATTCTAAATGTCATATCTCAGCCCAAACGAGACTTTACCAATCATAATAAAAGCTCTTCAATTCTACAAATCGCTGTGATTGAGACATGTTTTCGTCGCGTAATTTATTCAACTTCTATAGCGTTATTTGTGGAATGTGTGGTACGGCGTTTTGCGAAAACATTGGACTTTTTCTATTCACCTTGTCTAAATACGTACGCTGCAGTTTTCGGCATTATTCCACCTGCAAGCAATTTCTACAACTTTTCAAGTTGTTTTCGATAATACGGCCTTGACTACGAGCTTCAGATGCTTGTCGTAAACTTCTAGTGCAGCTCTTGAATTTAATATTGGGTTCTTCTAGAATCCCACAGGTATTTGTTGAAAAGAAGATTGGACTATCGGCTTTAGATTGCCCTCGTGAACTGCACTTTGTGGTCCACGACGTTGTCCGTCGTGAGCTCTCAAATTTTTGGTACTTGGAACGAACCTCAAAAATCACCCGTCGGTTCTGCGTTCTCAAGTCTTTTCGTTGTCCGTGATTTAATGACATTTCGATTTTTAACCGTTGCTTCATATCTGGATTTTTGCTGATTAGTTAAAATCGTGCGATTTTCATGATTTGAAATTATTATTTCAAGCAATTAAAATTACTGTGCTTCTTTCGTAAATGATGTTATATGGAATTTTGTCTGCAAGTTTTTACAACGGATGAAACGTCTATCGTTTTTTCATTAACGTACTACCTTCGACAGCTTTGTTAGGGTGCAAATTACCAATCGCCTGTAATTTTTCGATAACTAGAGCACTTAAGAATTTGACAGAAGACTTATAGAAGAAACTTCTCTCTAAGGGTATGTATTATTTTTCTACTCTTTCACGTTACTTTTTAAAATTTGAGATCGAAACCATGATTAAATAAATTTGAAATCTTAACTCAGACACGGAATCGGGTTAATTTAAGACGGATTCTTGGATTTCGTTATGCTTTGATTTATGTAAGCACCCTTGTTTTCCTCGTTTCGCTGCCCGACATACGAGGCTGGATGAAAAGATGCGAAAAATTAGATTATTTATGGACTTTGTGGGATTGGAATCTTGTCATGATTGAATAAATAAACTGATAACTTATTGTAATGGATGTGTAGGTTGTAGAGGTTGTTACTTCAGTTTGGAAAATTCATAGTGAGCTGAAACGTGTTTATTTGAAGGTGATAAGCTTACTTATTATCTTAGAGTAATAGTGATAAACGATTTCGAATGAAAGTTTTGCAGTGATATTGTTAGGCTAAAACACGACTTTATTATTGAAGACGTAACTATTGAAATCGATATTTCTTTCCCAGTACTATAAAGATTTATTCATTCCTTTATAGTCGAGTTCTAGAGGTGGCTATATGGAAACCATTTTCAACGACGATTTGAAATTCTGCTAGAGGTCTTCGTAGCTACTATTTGTCGACATGCTTAGGAACAATTGTTAATTGTTTGCGAGAGGGACATTGGGCATAGTGATTGATGCAGGGTTTCGTAGCCCAGTTTCTTTATCTTCTGCAACGTTGACTATGCAGTGTGTAGTCGCGTGCAGTCTGGCAAGAGGATTTGATCTTTTCTGTTCGCTCTGACAAAGAGATTGCATTCTGTGGAGTAGTTCACTGATTTCGTGACACAACTTTTGTGATATGGTCTTTCTGCAGTGATATTATCTTTTGTGATTTTATCTCCCGAAAACGAAAAAACTGTAATAACACCTTGCGTTCTCTTGATTTTATGACAGTAGTACAATATTGTGTGAGAATTTTCCTGTCTCTATATACTGTGCTTTGGAAAACCCTTCTCTACCTATCGCTTGATGAAATTTCGAATCACTGTCGTTGCTGTATGTACAAGTTAAGAAATAATTATGCGTTTCGCTTTGGTAGCATCATTTCAACCGGCCAAATGTTAAATTCGTTCTAAATAAATTATTAAGAAAGGTGATCTGCTATAAGCAGTTACACAGGAAGTAATCTTTAAAATGTTGTGTAGGAAAAAAGTAAACCAAAAAAAGTAAAAACAAAAAGTAAACAAAAGTTTTACTACAGTTTGCAAATTTCAAGACGATAGAGCAGTCATTATTCTAGAAAGAATTGCGTGTAGAAAATGTGTTAAATTGTGTACTCTCGGAAGTATCACTAAAGAAAAATGCCCATAATCCAGGAAGCGACGCACTTTTTAGCAAACTATAACTTCGACATTCCTCCTCATAGAGACTGAGAGGTGTTCCTGGGTGCCGGGATGCGATGTACAGTGGGGCATTCATCACCCGGCACCGATTTCTAAGCTGGGAAGGAGTCCGGCGTTCCCATCAGAAGTCCAGTTAAGAGCAAACAAATTCCGGGATTCGTCACCATCCTGGTATCAAACTAGCCGCATGGTGACAAATCTCCCTCTGTTCCACAAGGGCGGCGATTGCCTGTGTTGGTGACGACCTGGGCAGACTTTGGTCTGGCTGACCTTGGGATTCCTGAGAACCACAATGGCTAGGCCAGCAAAACTCCGGCAAAGTGGAGATTATACTGGGGCCCCTACAACCAGTGAGGAGGACATCCAAATATCCAAGTAAAATGCGATAAGCTTACCGTTGTACAACAGCGTTCATTGAGCACATTTTTCGATCTACAAAATTCTTGGTTGCCATCTGTACTTTTTTGAAGCCCGTTGTAATTTCTTGTGTTTAGACGTGAAACCATCAAATATTCTGGTAAATAGATGTGGTATGGTGAAGTTGTGTGACTTTGGCATCAGTGGTCAGCTGATCAATTCACTCGCGAAAACGCACGACGCAGGTTGCCAGCCCTACCTAGCTGTATGTGCACAACTGTTTAGTCGACGTTCTAACAATCATTTCATCTTGTGTGTTACATTTTTCAACAATTTTCGATTAACTTCAGCATTCTTTAGAGAACGTCGGAGTAAGTGCCCCGCATAACGTATCTCTTCTCATAGTAAAAGTGTTCAAAATTCTAAATTTTAAGCTTATTTTTAGGAGATTATTCTTTTCTGCATAGGAATAAGACTGCGCTTTTCTCAGATGGCGTCAAGAAACGTTTTGCAATTACGCCGAAGGAGCATGAAGTTATTGCTCGGTTAACTGTAGTGAAAGTTACTGTCGAATGTAAGCGGATAGGAATCTGACAAGGAGCCATTTCTAGAAAACTTTGCTTACGGAAATTGTGTAATGATTATTTAAAGTAAAATAGTTTGTTTCGCTGGTGTTATTGCATTTTTTCGAAAACTTTGCTTCAGGGTTTCTTTTGTACTTTTGTGATGTTGAGTATGGCTGTTGTTAGTCGGGAAGCATCTAGCATTTCAACAAAATCTGTGGCAATGCAGCACCAAGTTTTTCTTTCAGATTTATCAATCATTATTTTTCACTGTTTTTCTTCAATGAGCAAACAAGAAGTTGGTATAACAATATTTATTAGCACACAATAGCCGACGTTCCGGCGGTTTTGCTTCTTCGGAGCCGTTTTATTCTTAGTAGGTATTCCAATCAATTGGTGGAGAGCTGCCGCATAGTGTAATACATAGGCTAAAAAACTTACTCTATTCTCCGCCAATTAACTGGCGTACTCACAAGGAATAAAACTACTCTGAAGAAGGTGAAACCGCCCAGACGTCAGCTATTCTGTGCTAATAAATGTTATTATGCCAACCTCATGTTTGCTCGTTGAAGAAAAACAGTGGATTGTCGATCAATGCCGAGGTTAATCGAAAGTCGGTCGTGGGATATCATTATCTTTATTGATTATTAGAAAAATTAGTACGTACCACTTGTTTAGGCCAAAGCGATACTGAGCGCGAAGCTCGCTTTCCATTCAGATAAAGTTTGAAAGACAATGAATAAGTTACAGTGTTTTGTGAAGAATCGCTTGATTAAATCAGAGTGTATATTGGAAACCATTCTAAGTGACGCTATTTTAATCTTAACCCTTTTATTTACTGCCTTTTTCTTTTTAATGGCAGGGTATGTTGCGAAATATAACTGGTATATAATGCTGAGATATTTGCAAAACTCCGGACCGCAGGTGTATGCGGTGGGGAACGAACGCTCTATTGTCCTTACCGAGGAGTAGTGCACTTCACCACCACACCATCCGGGTCCTTCGTTTTGCCTGTCTCTCAGCTAGTTCGATTTGCCTGTCTCTCAGTTAGTTCGATGGACCCGGATCGTGTGGTGGTGAAGTGCGCTACTCCCCGGTAAGGACAATAGCGCGTTCGTTCCCCACCGCATACACCTGCGGTCCGGAGTTTTGCAAATATCTCAGCATTATATCGAGTTATATGACGCTATTTTATTCAAAACATGTGTATGCTAAAGAAATTTGGTAATGACTTAGAACTAGTGTACGAGTCTTCAATGGTTGAAGAAGATGTGCTATTATTTGATAGTGTACACTGCTTTTAAATCTATGTTAATTGTTTCCGTATTGGAATGTGGGGCTTCGTTGAGCGTTTTCCAAGCAGTAGCTAGCGGTTTATAAAGACTGCTGAAACCGAACGAACTCTACTTGAGTTTCCTTGGCGGATCGAGACAGCTAAGGAGCGAAGACTATGTAAAGATTTGTGCGTGTGTGTGTAATCCAAAGGTTCCATCTTTGAGAAACGTTTCTCACACAAACAAGTTGTGTTTTAAGTGGAGCAAATTTATCGACGGGGCACTTATTCTCCGCACTCTGTGTTTGGTACAACTACTTATTTTAGACTTAGGTGTTGTTCCATTAAATATGTTACGAATGATGAATTCTTTTGTTGCTATCAAACCGTCTCTGTTTCAGCCTGAGCGCCTATCTCACTATGGCCAGAAATATGACATTAGATCAGATATTTGGTCTCTTGGGATCACTTTAGTGAGTTCTGTCTTCTTTGGTCTCAATATTTGTGTTCAGTTCTTCTCTACTTTTTACTCTATATTGTTCTTACTGTTGCATTTAATTGCTTATAGTATTCCTCAACAATTACAGTGTGAAATTGCTATTGGGAAGTTTCCCTATCCGCCTTGGAATTCAGTCTTCGATCAGTTGAGTGCTGTTGTACAAGGTGACCCGCCAGTGCTAAGGATGGACGGACAGTTTTCTCATAGCTTTGTGACATTTGTTAGCAAATGGTTCGTAATTATAGCTTTGCGAGTTGAAACGAAAATTCTCATCAATATTTTTAAGCCTGACAAAAGATTGCAAGGATCGTCCTAAATACCAAGCTCTTAAGGAAGAGAATTTCTATAAAAAGTAGGTTGTGTTGTGATCAAATTTTTAATTGCGTTTTAATTTTAGATGAACTTCCCTATTAGTGTTACCATTTTCGCAGTTCTTGTCTAGAAATGTAGTGTAAAGTAGTTTTTACAATGACAGTTATTGATATTAGCATCATAATGGTTTTTACAATGGCAGATATTCCATGGGTGGACCTCAAATCGACGAGGCACGAGATTCTCTCAAATTCTATGTGTTAGATTATCTCAACAGTTCTCAGAACTGAACCCGATTGTATTATTAGATGAACTGACGTTTTAAATCTACAACAATCTGTTTCATGATCTCTACGCTTACTCAATGTTCATATTGCAAAGATTCCTCTTAGGCTAGTTCTAGTTTCCATGCAAAGTGCTCACATTTTCTGTCTTACTGTGTTCTCAATGTTATAGTAGGATGTTTAAAATGGTACGTTCCTCTATTTCCTTTATGATTCTCAAATTATAAAGGAAGTTTTCCTCCTTTAATCTAGTCCATCCAGGTTTTACTTAAGTTGTCCTTCCTTTCTAAAACAATCTATCACGCCATTGGTCCTTTCGCAACAACAATCGTTGATTTCAGTTAGGAGACGGTGCCTAATGATCTATGTGCGCGCTGTTTTCGCTGTTTTTTTTTGCCGCATAGGCTCTCAATAGATGGCTTGTCTTCTAACACGGGCTTAGCACTGGAATCAACCCAGGAAAAGCAATCCTAAATGTGCAATACGTTGCCAAAAACCGTTCTTCGGAGGAGTTAGTTTAAATCCCACAGTGGGTACAGTCATGTCTGTTTTATCGGTACCAAGTTTTACTATTCATCAGCTATCCCAAAATCATTAGTAACCTATCCATTATCATTGTCTATAAAGAGATAACCTAACAGAATTTGGAATTCTTCATTGACATGATGACGCCACTGGAATTATAATTTTTGGGCAGTTCATGACTACGTACAGAATGAAATCTGCTTATCTTCAATGTCTAAGTGCTTTCTTCCCGTTCTCTTCCTTCAGACTGTTTGATACGCCCTTCAAGAAATCTCTTCGTATTTTCAACATCTTCCTGTCCTTCCTTAATAAAAAATCAAAATAAAGTTGAAGTTGGTTGCGTGTCCCGCCAACATAATTCAGGCTTGGAGGATTTATTGACAATGAACTTACCCGAAAAAATGTTCGTTTGTAAATCATTAAGTGTGGACAATAGCTTTTCTAGTCATGCAATTCCTGCATTGTCTTACGATAATCTATCGAAAGACTGAAAAGTGTGATAAAAGAGAAGTCCTATGCGGCAAAATAAACCAACAAGAACGTGAAGAAAAGCCATTGCATACGATCACATCGTCCACTTGAAGCGTCGTATGCGATTGTGTAGAATGAATACATGTCATGTGTTAATGTAGTTTTACAGTGTACTGTATAGTAATTAGTGTACTGCAGCCCACCTCCTGAACTCATGCCATCGTTAGATTTCATGATGGTTATGGAACTCGAAATGCAGGGAATCTCAATATAAGTGCTCTATTTCGCACCACAGTGTTCGCTTAATGACAATTCCGTCTGCTTTTATATTTACCATGTCACACGGTGAAATGATTACTGTGTTTATGTTGTCTTATGTTAACTGTGTTGTGCGCGAGTCATAAAGTTTACTTGCTTTTGTGCCAAGAGTTTGCAGATAATTTCTATTTCCCACTTCATTGCATTGCCTTGGAATTGGGTAAAATGTTTCCCTCAATTTTGTTTCCACTTAAAGAAAGGTGGTTTGATGTTCAAACCCAGTTCAAAGTTCAAACGGTTCGTTCATTTTGCCAGAGTAAGCAGTAGGTGTGTGAAGTTGAGGTAGTCCTGTGTCGTCCTAGTGTTATTTAATTTGAAGATATGAGCGCGTTGCTAAAATCTCAAGAGATCTCTATGCCGACGTTTTGCATTGGAACGTTAATTCTCTACAGTTTCTATTTCAGTTTAATACAAGTTTGTTATGCTGTTCACAATAATTCATTCGCAGTGCAAGATCGTTTGTAGATTTCACTGTATCGTTCTCCATGACCCTTTCCTAGGACTTCGTTTTTGCTTCCAGTGATAATTTCGTTGTAATTTTTGGAACATTATGTTTGGAACCGAGGTTAATAAATCGTGAGAACACGAAAAAGATGAGTAGCTACTAGCTGTAGTTCTGTGGTCCTAAACTGAAAGGTAGGAATGTGGTTCTTCACATCACGCATTTTGTACGTGCAGACTTGTGAATGTGGGGTTATGATTGCCGCGTGCTTAGTCTAATTGGTTCCAGAAATGCTAGCAGCTATGTGTTCTCTTCACGAAAAATATAGACAGCAACATTCTTACAGTAGACCAGTGCATAAACCTACGTGCGTAGAGCGTATATTGGTGTAGCGGCAGCAATCGATGTGTAGTTCGTGTAGTAATAACTACTTATAGTGGTTCCATAATTTAAGTTATTAGATAGGGCACAGCGACTAGTTAGCTGACTAATCATTGCTATTTTTCTGTCCGGTTCTCGAAGTGAATTTAGGTCGTAATATTTTTTAATTAAAAGTTCTCTAATAACCTTTAACGTTTGAGGAGTATGAATGAGATATGAGAAATACAAATTGCAGTTTTGTGACACTGCAATTGGTCCGAAGCTTTTGGTTACCGGCTGAACCCACGACGTTGGGTTCTAAGAAAGTGGCAATCGATTGGCGGGAGGACCACGGAGAAGGCTAGGGAAGGGATAGTTTCGCAGCCCAGTGCGTACAAGTTCTGTAGTTTAGCTGTGGAACGTGTGATTGAGTCTTGTCGTGTACGAATGGTTGGAAATACCACAAATTATAGAGAGCAAGTTGATCGCTGAAAAATCCAATTTCCTTAGCACGAAGGGAACTGAGAGAGAGGGAGGGCTGCACGCGTATTGAACAGCAATGCCACCATCTACCAATCTGCCTTCCTGAGAGTCCTGCTTATCGAGCTTAAATGGCGGAAAAAGTGTTGATCAATTAATGCTGAGTTCTCCGTAAATCTTTCGAACGGTCAGCGATGATCAACTTTAACTGTTGCATTGATATGGTCGTAATCAGCTGTTAATAGCCGCCGAAACTTTGCGAAGTACTTGCGTATTGTGAGTTGGGAAACCGTTCACTGCGAACAAGATTTCGTGAAATTTCGAATTGCTTCCTCTGTGGTACGTACAGGGTTGAACTGATAAAGCAGAACACTGTGAATTTTTTGCTTTGACATCGCCATTCCAACTAGTTCAACTCACTGCAAATTAAATGTTAGAAAGAAACGAAAAACCGCCTAATGTGTGTGCGGTATGGGCAATATATGGTGTTTATTGGGACGAATCTACTTCACCATTGTGTTTCACTTGTTCAGTATGTGTTCGTGAAACCATCATAAGGAACCATGTTACCCTTCAATGATGCTGAGATATGCAAAACTTGGACCGCAGGTGTCTGCTGTGGGGAACGAACGCGCTATTGTCCTTTCCTGCGAGTAGCGCGTTCACCACCACCACACCATGCGGCATACACATGCGTTCCGGAGTTTTGCAAATATCTCAGCATCATTGAAGTTATATTTCGCAATACACCCTGCCATTGAAGAAGAGTAGGCAGTAAATAATAAGTTGAAATCATGTTCCCCTTCTCGATTTTTGGCAGAAGGACAAGATTAACAGTTCTCCATAGTGTAAAATTCTTTCTTTTCGAGTTTAATTTGAATTCGTTGTCCTGATCTTGAGCAAAGTTCTTGATAGCAACAAGCTCGAAGAAGATTGGCTACGAAGTCTGACCATGGTAATATACTGTTCTTAATGCTTCTAGAACATTTCATTGTTAGATTTTGTCGCATCCAGCATGCAATACATTTCACCTTTTTTCTCGAGCATGTTACGAACAGGTCGAGCTGCAAGTTTATTCTTAGATAACTAAGTGTTCGTAGAAATGTGGTCTGAATACTGGAGAAAGAAGCGTATTTAGAACAGTTCAGCAGTTCTTTAACGAGTAGCTCGCAACTATCGGTCAGTTAACCTTTGATAGTACAGTTATGTAGGAGATCGTGTCCTTTAAAAATTTTTGCGTATCCCCGGCTTGCGTTATCAAGTTCACCTAGTGGTAGTCTTTTTGTCTTTTCATGACTGAATAACGCATGAAACACGGCAAACAGAGAATTACAAGAGGCTGGTGCCAAGGAGATGTGAAATAAGCGTTTCTGTTTATTTCAATAGATATCGCATTTCCGATTAAAATGTTTTAGCCCGCTGTCGGTGAATATCTAAGCCAACCGTAGACATGGTGGCCAAGTCTCAGCGCTTCAAGTCGTGAACTTGGGTGCACACTATTTAGCCTAAGTAATGAGGGTCATCTTTTTTGCTGGTCACCCTCATTCTCTTCCTATGGAGCATCCACCTGGTTAGGCTAAGTTAAACGAGATACGTATTCTTCACAGCTGCTCTTCTGCCTTTGCAGTTCATTGACAAGAATGTATAAATTTATAAATCTGCATATCGTTTCCTAAAGTTCACGCCGAGCTGAGATATGCCACTTTGACAGTCATGCAGCTTAGAATCCGACACTGATTTTCGGAGAACCTAGTGCTATATCATTGTCTACTTGATTTCCATTTTTTTTGCAGGTTTAATCCAGTGAAATTTGCCACAACAACAAGAAAATTGACGTCCATGTGTAAAACAAGATACCCATCCTGAAATGATTTAGGCTTCGATACAAAGGCAATGAGGTTGATCCATTTTTCTTCTGAACAAGAACGAAGTGCGACCAGGACGAAGAAGAGACAGGTGCATCTTGACTCCTGTCGCTCCTCTCCAGAATTAAGCCGACCGTTGCGTATCAGAGTCGCACCGTGAGCTCTCCTTCTATGTTTGCCGTGAAACAGGAAGCTTCTCGTAACAAAAAAAAAGTATTGATTTCACTAGAAATTCAAATATGTAGAATGCGCATTAAGCTATTATTATTACTGTTATTTATTATTACTGCTATTATTATTGTTATTATTACTGATTATTATCATCAATTATTATCATCATTAATCATTTATATTCTCGTTATTATTATTATTACGGACGCGTGTTGCGCAGTGGTCGCAAGCGCCCTGCAATACACATAGGATCGATCCCCATGGCTCACCAAGCCTTCCATTCCTCCGGGGTCCACAAATTGCCACGATACCTGTCTGGGAGGTTCCCAGCATTAGCTCGATACATCGGCAGGCCACTGTGAGTCATTGAAAAAGCCAGATATGCATTCAGTCACTTCCAACGATGCTTAATGAAGTCGAACGCGTGGCGCATTCCTCAAGGGTTGATCAACGCCGAGACCTTTATCTTTATTATTGTTACTATTATTATCATTATTGTTACTGTTGTTACTATTACTATTGTTAATATTACTATTATTAATCATTATACCTATTCTTACTCTTGTTTTTATTATCATTACTGCTGTTATTAGATTGTCCAAATATTAATTAGGAGTTTGTGGTTTTAGTTTCATGTCTTTTTTCTCCCTCGAGTCAGCACTTTTTCATGTTATGGATCGTGGAGAAGACTTTCCAGAAGATGGAGATCGGATCTGGCGCAGATTGGTGGTGCTCAGTCCCAACACTCTTCGCTCTCCCAAGACCGACTTTCTGTTAACCTCGGCATTAATTGATAATTCAATGTTTTTTCTTCAATAAGCAGACACGAGGTTGTTAATATAGAATTTATTAGAATACATTAGCTGACGTTTCGGCGGTTTCGCCTTCTTCAGAGCCTGGAAAGGTCAAATTGAGATGTGATCTTCAATGGTATTTAAATACTTACAACAAATAAACGGTAGGTGTTTGAATGAAGCTGTTTCTTATGCGAATGCAAATCGATTTGTCAAGTTTTATCTTCTAAGGTTATGAAAATGTTTGGCTCAGTAGGTCACATCTCAATTTGACCTTTCTAGTCTCTGAAGAAGGCGAAACAGCCGAAACGTCAGATATTGTACTCTAATAAATTCTATATTAACAACCTCGTGTCTGCTTATTGAAGAAAAAACATTGAACTCTTCTCTCTCTCACCCTTTGTTTTTATGCTATCTTGCTTACTTGGTGCTTGAATGGTCCATCCTAACTGGTTGTACGGGCTCCAGCCAATCTCTAGTTTTCGCAGATCTGCTGCTTAAGCCATTGTGGTTCCTTGGAACCCCGAAGTCAACCTGGCGAAACGCAGTCGCAGCCCTTGTGGATCAGACGGAGATTTGCCAGCATGCGACTTTGATACCAAGACGGTGGTGGATCCTGATATTGATTTACTCTTAGCTAGGCTTCTTGATGGAAACGCCGGACTCCTTCTCAACTTGGGAGACCCTGCCAGTGGGTGAATCCCTCTGCTGTGCATGGCAGCCCGACACCCAGGAACATCTCCCAGCCACGATAAGGCGGTAAAGCTTTGGGAGGTATGCGATCTAGTATTGGGAAAGGCAGTAGCACTTATGTACAATAGACTAATGTACTGCGGACTTAGCCAATGCACTCTTCATTCTCTGATGACATCAAACTATTAAACCTAGATGACCGCGTGAGGTAAACACCGGCTGTACACGAGAGTGCGTCGTCCAGGACAATTTATCGGCATTCACGACAGAAAACGTGGTTGCGGCATGTGTGAAGCTGACACCCACATCCTGGACACAAATCGGAGGTCTGTCTATGGCCCGACCGGTAGAGACGAACGGACGCCACCCGCGCGCCGCCGCCGCTCCGCGACCAATCGATCTCCAATGCGGTGAGTCGTCGCTTGCTCGTCGGCGTTTGTCCTATAATGTTTTAGTTTCCGTTCAACATGGAAGGGAGACCGATATTGTTGTCCAAATTTCTAACGTAAGTTTTCATGTGATTCTGTTGTGGTTCACCTTTCTAGGAGGTGGTCTCGTCTCCGTTTTCATCTATTTGATTTTTTTAACGTTGTGAAAATTGTTTCTGTGTCGCGCTACATCCGTGGTTTTCTGTTCCAGATCAATTGATGAAGTTCTTCAGACTTCTGATCAAGAAAGCTGTATGGAATTTGTATGCGGGTAGGTCTGAGTGTCGTTAGCTTTCTCTAAGTCTAATTGGGCAGCTCTTTTTTTCGTAGTTGGTGATTTTTCAGGTTCCTCTTTGTTTGAACTGATCTCCTTTAACTTTATACTGAAGTTTCACGCATGTATTTATTAAAGGCAGGAATCAGGTTTGTATGTTGTGCTCGTGACAACTGCAAACGGCTGGTACTGACTGTTGATTGTACATACTGATTTCTTGCTGTTGTTCTTGTGTTCCTTCCAACAGTTTACCGTTTCATCGTGGCCAGGAGGTATTCACGGGTATAAGTCTTCGATGTAAAAGGGAGGGATTCATCCTCCCGGCAGATCCTCTATAGCTGAAAGGGGGTCCGGCGTTTCCATCAGGAAACCAAGCTAAGAGTAAACCAATACCAGGATCTGCCACCGTTTTGGTACGAAATTAGTCGCATGGTGGCAAATTTCCCTCTGATCCACAAGGGCTGTGACTACCAGTGGTGGTGACGGCCTGAGGCAGACTTTGGCCAGGTTGACCTCGGGACTCCAAGGAAACACATTGGCTAAACTAGCAAAACTCCGAGAAATGGAGATGTTTCTGGGGCCCGCGCAACCAGTGAGGACGTGCCTTCCAAACATCCAATTAAGTAAGTAAGTGAGTAAGTTCATGCGTTACAAATGAAATAAGTCTTGATTTCTTCGCGAAAAACGTGTTTCTTCTTGCTCAGTGTGAGTTTATTGATTAAGATTTAGTTCAAATAATATTTGCTAGATTTGTGTAAAGCTGCTCTAAGTTGTTTTTTCATGGCTAGAAACACAAATAACGGTGCCGCTTAATAAGCGGAGAACTAGCCATGCTTATGACATCTTGTTAAAACCATTTCATTGCTAGCTTTTGGAACTACAATGGATTGAATTGCTGAAGGCTAACAGTTTTTTGCTGCCTTGAAAATCCAGTGCGTGGCGAATTTTGTTGGAATCCTTTGAGAGGTATTCTGTCCAGAGAACGTTAACCCTTTCGCAGCGAAGTATTTTGGTAATTGTCGACAATTTTCCTATTACAAAAGTGTTTCAAAAGTTGAAAACTGTACACTTCTGTAGAAGAGACTTTGCTTTCCCTCACTAATTATATGTGTTAATTCCATATCATATCCTTCAAAATGTATCTATGCATACTTGTATATTTGGATCGCCCGTCCTCACTGGTTGTGCGGGCCCCAGCATAATCTGCAATTTTTCGGAGTTTTGCTGCTTTAGTCATTGAGGTTGTCAGGAGTGCCGAGGTCAGCCAGGCCAAGGTCTGCCCCAGGTTGTTACCGTTGTTACCACCACAAACACTTGCCGCCCTTGTGGATCAGATAGAGATTTGCCACCATGCGACAAGTTTGGTACCAGGGCAGTTGTGATTCCTGCTATCGGTTTCCTCTTAGCTGGGTTCCCTGGTGGAAATTCCGGACTCAACTTGGAGGACCTTGCAAGAGTGCCAACTGCGGTCATGAACAATGCACGGATGAACGCCATCATGTCTTAGAAGTGTCCTACAAGACGGAGTCCTCTTTGTTCATTTCCTTTCGTGTTCGAAATATGGTTGTTGAAGCAAAAATGATGCGGAAAATATGTATTCTAGAACTCCAGAAAATCAGAATTCCTGTGAACTGTGAGGGAAACGTGAACTTTTTTTATTTGATAGAAGCTGGTAGGCCTTAACAATTTTTCATTCGATGTAGTAAAATTCACTAAGAGATGAAATATGCTGAGTTAAAGTTGAACGTTGCCGTTGTTTTCGCATTATATGACTCCTATAGGTGTCACGTATTCTCATATAACGGTTAAACTAATTTTCTGGTCACATTAAGTATTTTAGCTTTCTTTACTTCAGTTCGAAGCGTTTTTTTTCAGTGCCATTGTTTTGTTCGAGAAAAGTTTTGGGTCCGAAAATAAGGCCGCCATGCAGAAGGTGCTCAAGGAAGCTGTGGATAACTTTGGACCCGATTCTGTTAATGAGAAAATTGAATGCATGTTTCCTGTTTACAGTATGCTGGTAATGTGTTAAGCTCTTAGTTTTCGTTTCTTGTATGTCTGATTAGAGTTTACATTTTTAGAGGAAGTATTGTAAATCGTCGTTTGTGCACGAAGTGTTTGAGAGACTATATGACAAGGATTCATACCGACGATGCGCTATGTTCTATGTAGAATGGAGTCGTTCCCATCCAGATTTTGGAAAGAAGCTGGTAAGTAGCTTGTAGTTTTATTTTTGCCGGTATGTTTTTTTTTCAAGTGTTAAGCTAATTATGTGGGATTTCTTTTTCTGATGCTCGTATACTGTTCGTTAATGTCTAAAGAACTTCTGATAATAACATAAAAAAGTAAAAAGGATATTTAATTACGATTAACTCGGTGAACTAATACCAGTTGTTTTGTGGCGCTGTGCTCTAGGAAACGTTTATTTATTTAGAAACACACTGACTATGTGTATGAGATAGTATAAGGAAATAAAAAAGGATAAAGCTTTCGGTATTGATCAATCCCTGAGGGATGCGCCGTGGATCCAACTTCATTAAGTATCGTTAGAGGTGATTGAATGCATATCTGGCCTTTACAATGACTCGCGGTGGCCTACCTATGTATCGAGCCAGTACTGCTATCCTCTCAGACAGGTCTGGTACCGATTTACCGACCGTGGTGGGATGGAACGCTTGGTGGGCCTTGCGCAGGGACATCGATTTCATCTGTGTTACAGGGCGCCTGCGACCACTGCGCTGCATGCGCTCTAAATGGGGCAGTATGCGCAAAGTTATTGCTAAAAGGCACAGCTACCAACGCTCTTCACTCTCGTACAATCCGCAGTTTTTTTTGTGTTCGAAATTATTGAATAAATTTTCTGCTTCCTCCTAAAAGATTATTCTGTTCCTCATTCTAAAAGCGGTCATATTTACACAGATGAAAGTTTTTGGTTGTAAATTAAGGTTGTTTAGTCGAATAATACGTGTGTCATATGTGCTTCGTTTTCTTCCGTTAATCCAGAGTAGCATGATTCGATAATTACAATGTGCTACTCTTAACTCCGAGACCATTCTTCCATTGCAAGTCAGACAACTTGTTTTGGTTAACTGACGCTTAATGTTGTAGAAAAGTGAGAATAACCAACTGTGGTATAGCCGGTGTTTTTCTTTTCTGCATAATTTTTCCTTTCAAGGGAGTATTTAAAGAACCCGTTGGGTCCTGTATGACTGACTTGTGCATGGTAAAATTTCGTTGTTGTTGTTGTTGTGGTAGTTTTGCCATGCGGGTGTTTTTGAATCGTCGTTACGCGAAACATCTTGCATGAGTAATTGAAATCGTATGTATAATATTGGGAATGGAGCAACATGGGAGTGAAAGTCGATGGTAATTACGTCATCTTCGCTTTGCTGATTACATGGTTCTTATAACCAAACATTAACTAAGCGGAACGAATTTTTACCAGCAATGATAAAGTATGTGGAAAGATTGGTCTTCGACTACGTCTCAATGTTCAAAATGAACGGATTGGTTACGTATGCCTCATTCACGGTGAATAGAATATCTCTGAGCGCTCCGGTTACTTCCATTTAGGTGGGGAAGTCAACGTAATGAACGACTTAACTTCAGAGTTGAGCAGAAGGAAAAAACACCTGACTCCTTAACCACCTTTTCAACTCCACAATTTTGCATGCCCTAACCTTTGTGTCAAAAACCTCGTCGCTGCTTAAGCAGAGTGAAAGATCACTTAGCGTTATTGAACGCGCAGTCGAAATAACGATGCTAGGAGTGACCCGTGTCACATAAGTGAGGGAAGAGATCTGAAGCTCCGACCTGCGTCAGGGATCAGAATTCAAAAGTGCCGTCCAGTACACCAAACTCTCGAAGATAAGGTGGGCCAGGAACGTAATGGTTGTGAACGATAACCGATGGATAGGAGTCGTCGGTGGCTGGATTTCTCGGTGTACCAAACGTACTGCCAGAAGACCACCAATACCAGCCCAATGGTCAAGATTATTCACGAAAAGCGTGGAAGAAATTTCTGGCACTTAGCGAGTCCGTAGAGCGAGCAGAATCCACTGGTCTACTGTTGCACCTGACAAGGAAAAACGGAAGGTTTACTGGCGTCCGCTCGAGTCGACGATCAGTGGGATGAATGGTGGCACAGGTGATACATAATATTAACACAACAATCGCGCAGTGGGTTTCAAAAATGTATGCACAACGAAGTACATGGGCTAGCGGTTCAAAGAACAGAAATGCTATACGTAGGAATTTGCACTAGCAATGGCCTATTGGCATGTTTACTAGATTCGTGAAGTGTGTAATATAAATACAAATACTGTTTATGAGACTAGAGAGCTCAGCAATTAAAGTCTACTTTATAAGATAACAAAAGAAGACGATGTAGATGGTAAGAACCGTATCAAAGCGAATGGTGTGACTATAGTCACGTCACGCTTGACTGCGCTGGACATGGTCGCACGATCGTCCTATCAGGCAATGTAATTGCCGGTGGCCATTGATAGGTATGAATGTAGGATAAGTATTATTTACTTCCATCATGCAATCTATTTCAAATCACCTGAATAAATAAATAATAGGAACACCAGTGTCGTGTCAGGTTATTTGAGATAGATTGTTTGACGGAAGTAAATAATACTAGCAAGGATGCATACTCAGTACATAGGACTTATGGTAAGATGAAAGATAGAGAACAATGATGGAGAATGTCCTTTTAGTTGTGAGTGGCCGCAGTAGTCCTATTATTTGTTTATTTTACTTTTCACGTCATCTTGTCTACTGTACGGATCACAGCATCATTTACATTCGGTTCGTTTTCCTCGCATTCATCGTCCATAAGCGTCTCCGTTTCGGCTGTGGCTTGAAGGTTTCATATTTTTTTTAATGTCGTTGAATGCTCGTCGATTTTCCTTGCAATTTTCGGAGATGTCCGAACTACGGTAAACCCACGTAGGCTGGAAAGAGCGTTGGGGAGGTGGTTGGACCTTCACCTTGCTTCATATGCCATCATGGGCAGCTCCGCTATCACCCTCGTAATCGTGCTATGGTAAACGTAATTAAAGTTGCGAGTCATGTTAATAATAGGTCTCATAATTTGTCGATAATTCGTTAGCTTTTTTTAAAATGTTGTTCCCAGTACAATCACAAGCAGTTGAACACACACTGTGCAGAAGAAGCTTCGTATTCGGTGTCCTGAATTTTAATTTTTGAAGGAAATCCTGGAACTCGGCTTTTATTCGAAAGCTGAGCCCGTTTGTGTTCTGAAGTATGAGAAGAAAGAAGTGCTGAAATTGGAGAGAATTTCATTTGTCCAAGAGAACATTAGTACAGGGCAAGTGCTTTATTACCGCCTAATAATTTCTTACTGGAACACTATTAATCAACAATTGTCCTTGCTTTACAGACAGCCATCTTGTGCCCGAGGTCTTCCTGCCAAAAAATCGACTAAGGATCTATCGGCGAAGAGAGCGTTTTTCGGTGGAAAATCTACCAATCTAGTCGAAAATGACAACTCTTCATCTAATAAATTGTCTACCGATTACGATTTTGTCCTTCCTGCTTCCAGCAACTGCTTATCGTGGTTGGCCAGTTGAAAGAACTGTTCTGCGATTACTGGTGTTTCATACAATTTTCCATCTTTTTCTCTCATTCAGGAAATCATCCACTGTTTCACCGAGCACCCGCTATTCTCCTCCACTACATAACTTGGATATGCCAAAGTAATAGTTACCGATATACTTCTATCCCTTAGAGTATAATGCTTTATGTGCTTAGTTTTAAATAACCAATAGGTAATTTTTTAGGCAGCCTGATGCGACCAATTTGTCCAGTCCTGATCCCAATGCTGAAAATATGTTCGTGAGACTATTGTCCTTTCTTTGTCAGAAAAACGAAGCTCAGCTTATAGTTTCCAATTTATAATAATTTTTTAACACATGATCCGAAAATTAATTTTTTCTAATTTATTGCGCGTGTTGGTGCTAAGTTTTCTATGTGCTATCGTCGTCGGCCTTTTATTCCTTCCACACATGCTGTAAAGATAACTTTCGGTTGATAGAAAGTATGCACAAATAGAGACGCAACATTTCTTTGTTGTATTTTGTTTCGGATTTATCAGATTAGATGTAGGACTTTAGTTTTATACGAATATTATCAACTTCGGTCACTATGACGTCGATATCGATTTTTTGTCCATTACGAAGCAAGTCGATCTTTAGAAAGATCAATCAATTATTTGAAGCGAGGAAAGAATTATTTCTTGTAATTTTGCGCTAACAACAGAATTTTACGCTGAAATATTAAGATAGTTCACTTTATTTTGATAAAGTTTTGAAATCTGATACTGCTGGGAAAAAGTGGTTTTAAATCTCTGATTCATTTCTTATATTATTAGTTGAGTTAAGAACTTGGAAAAATAATCTTATCCATATGCTTTAGAAACCCTAGTGGAGCTCCTTCAGAAGTTACTGTAAAGCGTAAACATGCTGGTATACTCGTAAGTGTTCATGCTAGTCGATTACGTTCCAACAAAGACAGTTTGAGGCTATATTTCAGAGCTTGTTCAGGTAGCTTCTCTCGATTTCACACTAGAGGATTATGATCTAGGAGATGATGCATGTGTTAATTCAAAATCATTGGAAGTATTAAAACGAGAGGACAATGAAAATAATATCAAAAATAGTTTGGTGAGGTGTTTATCCTACTTCATGATGATTGATGTTCTTATAATGAATGACGTGAGGATGTGTAGTAAGCAATATTTTATTCCGGGTAATAGTTGCAACGAAGATTATGTTATATACTTTTGCCCTTATCAAAGATTTTAGATGAGGCTTAATCATTTGAGCAAGCAGGATCCAGACAACGATGTTCCTGCGTGGACCATATGCAAACTGTATTCCGAGTCATTGAATTATGTGCAGCACACCACCTGACTCGTTTTCTAACCCCAATCGCTTGCGAAAAGCGTTCAACAACGTCAATCCAATTTTAATCCTTTTAGAGGTCCTCCATTTTGGAGGTGATCTCTCCTGTAAAAGTAGTTATGCTAATGGTTATCATAACTTTTCTACGAAAGCGTAGTTCTTTGATTGAAGTTTTACCATACCCATAAGAGAAACAGTCCGACAAAGCATCTCCATCTTGTCAAAGGCGTTCATAGCTGTATTCCAATAGGTCATCAGACATTTGATTGTGGCAAAAAGGAAATGCGAATTGTTGGAGAAGCTTGTCAAATCGTTGTTTTCTTGACGACATTGTCATCCTTTCGTGGAGTACTAGTGAATCACAGACCTTGCTTGGCGAAATGGGAAAAAATGTTGGTCTTAAAAACTAGGTTTTTTGGAAGATGTGTGGTGTGAGAATGAAAAAATCGAGGGTTCCTCTCCAGTTAACAGAACCCACCTTGCACATGTACTATCAGCGTTCATTGAACATGGGCAATGATGCCAAGGAGGAATTACACAGAAGACTGCGGAGAAACATGATCCTCGTATGGGCTTGTCCGGGAAACCACAGACTAGTTAACGTACCCAAAATTCGTTGTTCATCTCTTTGGTTCAGTGGTCATCCAAGCTCTCTTCAGAGACTTGGATTTCTGTTTCTTCTACGCGGAAATCTTTACAAACCAACAACAGAGTGCTTGAGTGAAGTTTTCTGAAATCTAGCCAACACTTACAACTTTTAGGGGAAATAGGGAGCTCAGGTTTTCGAAACCCATTCCAGCTTCGAGATGCAATAGATTGTATATCGGTAGCGAAAAATAAATGGAGGAGTCGCATAATAAGAAGGACAGATGAGGGATGAGTGAAAATAGTTGTGAAATGAATTTTAAGAGGATATAAACGTCCTCTTCAACGACTATATACACGACAGGCTGCCGTATTTGTAACTCAGGTCAACCATCTGCTCTCGCAGATAGGAACAATTTCTGCATCACGGAATACGCCTCGCAGACGTCTCCATGTCTAAAGCAGACCGTGGACAACGATTAGGCGAGAGAGAAACTAATGGAAAATTGGTTGCGCTCCACACATCTACTGAAGATGGGCCATCTAAGTAAATGACTTAAAACTCATTCGCATTTGCAAAATCTGTCTTTGATTAGCGACTTTTAACTTGAAAACCATTATTAATTCAGTCCACGCGATCTCGTTTTGCGTTTGTTTGCCACAGTCGGATTCATTTGGTTTAGTTGGTGTTTTACTGGTTTCTGTGTAAATGATGAAGAATTTAGTTCTCTTTCTTGCATAATTTAGCTAGAACGAGGTTGATAATCCAAGAATGTATTGGTTATTAATGCCGAGGTTAAATGTTGGTCGGTTTCAAACATATTATTTTTTCCTCCTTTTTGTACCACCATCTATCTTTGATGTTGATCTTAGTAAATGGATTTTAGAGCGAAGAAGTTGGTCCATCGAGCAGCTCGATCTCACCAGTAAAGAGGTTGACTCCTAGCCCAACGCTTAGTGATAATTGGTGAGTTGAAGTGATCCGTTGGGATATTTCGAATTCTTCTTCGTTGTTTTTCTGGCGAAATATTTGTGGCGAAATGTTACATTTTGCAGATGTTATTAATGAAAGATACAATCAGATTATTTTGAACTAGAATATTTATGTATTTACGAACTGGTGATTTACTGTTATGGTCCCATCTTCCAAATATTTAGATACATGTACCAAATTTAGCAGTCTTTGATCTCGGTATAGACATACTTACCATTGTTTCATCTCCATGACCAGTGAGGTATCTATCTGTGCTACAATGTTTCACTAGTGTCATCTGAATGATTAATGTATGCTTTTTGACTGAAATTAAGTGAATATTTCATACTGTAGATTACTCAGCTACTACCTGTAAATTTTCATTGTCATTCCAACTTTTAAAGAGTTGCCTGTCTTTGTTCTGTTCCTGTGCCTGTTCTCGAGAACGCTAAGCGTTTGGTTTTTTCGCTCGTGGGATTTTCAACCATAAAAAGAGTCTAGTATGTGTTCCATTGTTTAACATTCATTATTCGCTACCATTCCATGTTCGATCGCCTATCTTGTTCACATAAATATTGTCTTGTCGTTGCTAATTAGAGCGTTAGTATTTGAATTTTGAGAGTTTTCTCTTATCACTGATTCGGCATACACCGACAGTGATATTATTTACTTTGCTCTGTGGATTGAATTGCTGCATTGTTTCTTCTTGTGTCATTTTTTTTTCATATTGCAACGAAAATTGACGCTTAATTTTGTATCACTCTTTTATATTATCAGGGGGGTCTTTTGACTAGATATTATGTTTTATTAATAGTAAAGTTATTCTTAGTGCTATGTACTCCATTCTTTGTGAGGGCATCAAGACTATAAAGGTTTAGAGGCGTCGTTCGAAATTTACAAATGCCATTGCTTCTTAATTCACCGAGTGTTGTATTCAGTATCTTCACAACGATACCCAATTTTGGGCTGTTATTGGCATGCTGCTTTTCCGACGATAGGTAGTTTTTCCAAATTGGAAGACTTGAAGGTTGAGAGTGTAACAAAATATCGCAGAGTCAACTCGTTCAAAAGCGGTTTTTTGTGTATGTCTAAGTTGCGCGTGTGGCCCAATGGTTGGAGGTGCCACTGCGACACACACGTAAGGTTCGTCACCGTGCCCATGCCGCGCACCAAGCCTTCCATCTCTACGGAGTCGGCTAATCGCTACCAGGCTTGTCTTGGAGGATAGCAGCACTGGCTCGATGCATCGGTAGGCTACCGCGAGTCATTATGAAGGCCAAGCATGCATTCAATCACCTCCAACGATCCTTAATGAAGTCGAATGCATGGCGTATCCCTCAGGGATTGATCGACGCCGAGAACTTTATCCTTTTATCCTTCTATATCCTATACCACAGTGAACGAGAATAATGAAAAAACTTTCCTGTTCTTTAGGCGTCATTAACATTCTTTAAAAAATACGCACTTTATCACCAATTTCTTCTTGTGTTAAGTACTTATCTCAGCTTTTCAGCTCAGAAATATTCATCACAGATCTGAATGCTTGATTGTTGGGCGACATTGTATACTAATTTCTTTCGCATTCAAATCGAGAGTTTGCCGCCCATCACTTTTGTCATTATTTTAGTAACTGTTTTATAATCTATTTAGACATACCTTACTAACAACCATGTCACACGGTGGCCCAGCTTTCTAAACATACTTTTTAAAGCGTGTGTGTACAGTTAGGAAAAAGAGGAGAAGCTCGGCCGTTTTGAACCAGTGGTAACTCTTGTTTCGAAAAAGTGAAGGATAGTGAAACGATTATTGTTCCACTTTCCACAATACCTCATTGTGCGGTTTACTTTTCTCTCAAAGGTTTACGGCCTCTCGTCGTGGCTGGGAGGCGTTCCCGGGTCTCGGGCTGCGATGTATAGCTGGGGTTTCAACACCTCTCCCCGGTAGGGTCTCTCAAGCTGAGGAGGATTCCGGCGTCTCCCTCAGGAAGCTCAGCTAGGAGTAGACCAATACCAGAAGCCACCACCGTCCCGGTACCAAACTAGTCGCCTGATGGCAAATTTCCCTCTGATGTACAAGAGCGGCGAATGCTTGTGGTGACGACCTGGGGCAGAATTTGGTCTTGCTGACCTCGGGTCTCCAGAAACCCACAACGGCTGAGCCAGCAAAACCCCGAAAAAGTGAAATTCATGCTGGAATGCGCACAACCAGTGAAGACGGGGCCATCCAAGTATTAAGTATTTTACTGTTGGTGGAGTGCAGGTGTTACAATGTGCTTATCTAATTAGCCATAGTATTTTTAATTTATCAAAGTCAAACTAGATAAGTATTCTGACTTTGCAGAATTGGTAGTAATCTACCCGTAATTGTTGGCCAAACTGCAATGAATCAGCTCCTTTTTCTAGCCTCGTCCTTTGCAAAAGTTGGAAACCAAAGAAATGGCATTAATAAGTAAAACTAGAACTAAAGTAGCTCTCCAGATTTAGCAGCCCAGAATTTTCCACTAGTAAAGAAGGTACTAGTTTATATTTCGAAACCGATTTTCTTTGAACCTCGGCATCACTAATCAATATGTATTCTTTCTTTGATGAGCTTACACGAGGTTGATAATGATGTTTATTTTCGGCTAACGTTTCGATGTCTTCGTCTTCCTCAGAGCCGATGATCCGAGTCGATGGTCCTGGCTTGTTATTCGTCTCGACGTGGCAGCTTCGCCTTCATGTCGAGTCAGGTCTTCTTCAGTGAGCCATCTCCTCGGATGAGGCATCCTCACTGAGGCTCATCGGCTCTGAGGAAGATGAAGACGTCAGAACGTTAGCTGAAAATAAATATCATTATCAACCTCGTGTAAGCTCATTAAAGAAAGAGAACTAGGTTATGTTTTTATGTTCTTAATGCCCATGACTTAGCATTGACAGCTGTTCCTTCTCGTGTCCACAAGTGGTTGTTTTTACCATAATCAGATCTTTAATGGCAGTCATAAACAACTCATGAAGGTATGTTAGCTCTTGCAGACCAAAGAGAAGCAGTTGCGTACTCAAGAATAGCTTTCATCGACGTTCCAGAAGTGACGGGGTTCCACGGTGCGTAACCATCGCCGAAATCCTCATCTTCGTTCTCATTCGCCAATTTATTATATTGAAACTCCTCGAAAGGAAGCGCAAGCGATGCTACATTATTTTCAGCGCCTTCATCATCTTCTTCAGTAAAAGTCGTTGGAAGATGAAGCCCATTTCATCTTCCATGGACATAACTTGATGATACGAAATTTGGTTTTCATCCAAAAATGACTCTTCTTTCGTCTTCTATGGTGAATCATGGATACTGTATATAGCGGGGACTACAACATTATATATATATATATATATATATATATATATATATATTGCACTTGGAATATGTGGCGTGATTGAATGGAAACGCACGTGAAGTGCTACTCCTAACGAACGGAAACATAAAAACATGGGAAAACACAAAAGAGCACTGAGAATAGGAAAAAATGAGAAAAACGTAAAATAAGACACGTAGTGTCTTACTTTTGCGGGTAGGAACGCTTTAGCGGTTATGACTCGCCTACAAATATAATTCATAAGGCGAAAGTTTAAAAGCCAACCCACCCTGCTGCAAAAGAAGAATAGGCATCGTCGAATAGGCGCTTATTTCAAAGGAATTACACCATTATTTTAACCTTTTATTTGCTGCAGAAGGTTAATATTAGAGCAGCCTCCAAACCTCATTAGAATAAGTTTTTTTTCGAAACCGACTTTCCTTGAACCTCGATATCACTAATCAATATGTAAGGTGAAACCGATACTTCGACGAAGACGTCGAAACGTTAGCCGAAAATAAACATCATTATCAACCTCGTGTAAGCTCATCAAAGAAAGAAGATATAAGTTATTTTTAATGAATAATTTTTAATGAATAATTTTTAATGAATAGCAGGGACGAATGCCCGGAGGTCATACGCGACCTGATCCCGTACGTTCGCATCGATTTTTGATGTGCGATGGTGCAGTCGTCAACCACATGCGACTATAATCAGCTGTTCTAAACTTCCTCATTGGAAGTCACGAAAAAGCGGTGGGTTTTTCGAGAAGTTTTTGATCGTGTAATTACCAGAGGGTTCAAGCTGTATTTCTAAATTTGATACCATTATAGGAGGCGTGGCACGGGGATCGAATCTAGGACTGACCATGATGGTCCAATGGATGAAAAGAACTGTAAAGTGGACTCTACGAGAATGCAAACGTCCCCTAAGATGGCCATCTACACGTTGGGCGGACGTGTTCGTAAACAAAGTTAATCAGCTGTACCTCCAGCTGCAGTTATTTTACAGATCACGGTATGAGACTCGCACGCGCGACCATGCTCGAAAAAATCCACCACAATGAACGACGACTGCGAACGAAAGAAACGAATGGCAAACGTGCTCGTGATCCGCACAACTCGTGAGGACGGACCATCCAAGTAAGTAAATATATCCTACATGCTCTTGAAAGCTCTCCAAGCCGCTCAACTCTGGAATAAAGTCGTTCGCTATGTTGAATTCCCGACCTAAATGTAGCTGGAGCACTCGACGGTATGCGTACTGTTGGGCGTGAATGAGCACATGTAACCAGTTCGTTTCTCGTGAACGTTGTTTTTGTGGGATTTACATGGTGGCCAATCTTTCCACATGCGTTACCAAAGTTGGGAAGTATTCGTTCCGCGTGGTCGTTGTATGAAAGATATCATCAACAAAGCGAAGATAGTGTAATTGCCCAGCATCGATTTTCACTCCCGTATTGCTCCATGTCCAGATGATGTGCGCTTTATGCCACCGAGGTTTATAGAAAATCGGTTATTTGAGTTATTAAGAAATAAGCGTCCATCTACATCTCAGCTATGATGCATTTACCAAAAATTCTGCCAAAAATCACAGGCTTGTTTAGCAGAGCTTCACAAATGCAGTAACAGTAGAGATATCGCAGATGTTTTCATATACAGAAAGAGACCACAAGCACTGGCAATAAATTACTGACAATGTGAGAAACCAATGGTCAAAGGCCAAGGAGCTAACCTACAAGAAAGAAAGGGAAACAAACGATGACTGACAAAAATTTCTGAAACCAGAGAGATTGTGTAGCGGCACATCAGTAATAAAGGGTCTTCCTTAAATTCGAGAATTGGTTAAATAGGAAGCCCTTGAGCACCATAAGAAAGCGCGATAAATGGTATCTAAAATAGCAGTGGACATTCACAATAATTTCAGATTCGTCATGGGCTTATCCTGTTTTAAAGACCAGGTCATAACACCTATACTGAAACTTACAGACTAGTGAATACAGCGAAACAAACGAGGATGTAGATAGAAATTCTGCCTAAACTCTACTTAATATATCGAAAAACGGTTTTCCAGATGATAACTGAGAACAATATCAACATGAGCAAGGACTGACTAAATCGCTATTACGTTATACAGAATCACGTAAATGAATATGAGTGGGTGTTAGATATCATCGAAATCTTCGTCGGCATTAGCAAGAGGAGGAAATGAGTTTATAAGTTCAGAAACATCAAATGCTCCATCCTCATCAGAAATGACGGTGAAATGATCCACCTAGAAAACAATTCGAAACTGTTTTAAAGAATGACGCCCTAAAACCAAACATTCTATGCAGCTCAAGAGATTTTAAAGAAATAGTAGTGCACAATTAAATAACAAACCCCTCCAGGTGGCAGTAGCGTCTTTTTCAACTTTTTCTTAGGCTTTCTTATAAAAAGGTCCATATCTTCTTCCTCGCCAAGCGACCTTTCCTCCGAAGACTCCTAGATAGAGATGACCAAACAAGTAGGAAACTGGATGTAAATCTTACGCGATTCAAAACGAAATAGATTCCTAAAGCGGCTGAAAAGTAAACCTAGTTATCTTGCACAACGACTATACGATTCTTTCACATTTCTACTTATAATTATATATAATTTACATATTTATAATACTATCTATTACCACACGTTTTGTGCGTCCTAAGATTTCTTCCACTCGTTTCGCTGTCATGATCCGCCGTTAAAGTGTTCACATCACCATCACAGAAATTTGCAAGCCGGATAGGAGGGAGCTTCCCACGAAACCTCCACGTTATTGTAAAATGGGGTAACACTGCTAGTGAAATTAGGAAAGTTATCGCGTATATGCATTTGGCTCCTTAGGACACTCTCATTCTGTCTCAAATGCTCTCACCAAAGTCGGAAAACTCAAGGAATATAGTTGCTCCCAATCAAACGGCAGAAGGGTTAACAAGCCGGTTTATACCTGGTGACATTCTTACTAGTGATGCTACGAAGAAAAAATCTGCAGTGTAGCTCGTAGTTCTCGCTGTTTATCAAGACATCAAATACCACAACAAGGTACATCGCACTATACTGCGTGAACCCACGACCAGACAATATAGATCTATAGCTATTCTCGAGCTTGGATGTGGTAGTATCGGAAACAGGGTGCACTGGAGAACTACGACAGAATGTACTGTGATCTATAAACAGGTACTAACAACAGTCTCGACTGCACACAAATTACTGAATTTGTTGATGGCAAACTAGATTTTGAAGGCCAATTTACCACTCAATTAAATACCAAGTTTATGCACTATTTGCAATTTAGTTTAATGCTCAAACTTCTGATATTGTACGGTTCCCTGGACTTTTTTCACTTGGTTCGTCATCTCCCAACAACCATCTTATTATGATCTTTGGATTTTACATGTGAATTGGGCTGCCACTTAAGACTATGTGGTGCTCCCACGGCAACAGAATGGATCACTCGGGTAAAAACAAATTCTCACCAAAAGATAAACATTCAATCAACAACGCTCCCTTATAAAAGGGCACTGCCAAGTGAGATTACTTCGGTTCTCCACCGTACGAGATTCGACTCGATGCGACTATAAAGATTCACATCGCAAGGACGAATGGCTGTGGACAACCTACTCAAATCATTGCTGCTCTGAAGAAGGCGAAGGTACCAAGACGTTAGCCGAATAAAAACCTTATTACAATTTCTTGTATGCTCATAAATAGGACAAAACACTATTGATTACTGATGCCGAGATGGAATGGAGATTGGTTTTCAAAAATATTCAAGACTGTCCTATTGAAGAATGACGTTGAATGCTGGTCGAGTTGTTCCTCTTTGGAATCTTGATTTCGTTCTATCGGAGTTCCCATGTTTTTACCACAGGTAGTCGACTTTTACAGACCAACAGTTTTAGCAGAAAAATCTGGCACCTATTACACAATCCTGGAAGCTTAGGGGCTGAGGGTTGATTGGCCCAGGGTAGTATCCACCAGAAACAATGTGGATACTGAACAGCACTACCATCACTGCACTTCCCACACCCATTGCAAAATGTGATGTCATGAAATCAATTGAAGCTACTAGTAACATGCCGAAATTTGTCAACCTTCTTTCAGAGGTCGTAAAATGTGATTGCTAACCTGTTTCCATCCCTTAGTCACAAATTTTTCGAGCTCTCTCTAGGCGACCGAGCAAATGAAATGCGTGGTCACCTAGAAAAATATTCCCTTGAAGCTTCATGGTTGTGAAGACACTGACTTCACATTCGACATAGAACATTAGATGTAGGATATGTATCCTCATAGGATTAGATATTTAATCTTTTTAATCACAACACGTCGGTAGCGTGTTAAACTTTCAGATCGTATTGTGAAGAAATCTGACCAAACAGACCGCATATTCATATGAACCCTCCAAGTTCTACAGAGGAAAAAATAAGCTGAAACGCTCGCGTTTGTAATAACGCGTGTATTACGGAGCTCTTATCAGTTATCAAGAACATTACAACAGACAATGCTGAGGTTTATAGAAAGTGTATTATAAATTGTTACGAATATGGCAGCAATTCCAGCATTTATTCAACAATTCTCCTGCTGTGTATACCGACTGACGGCTCTCTTTGTACACGGCCAAATTGGCTCAAAACAGTACCCAGTGTAACTTCTGCACAAGTATTATCTAGAATAAACTCAAAAATAAATAAGTCTAGGATTAAAATATGACTCCTCATTTGCACCATATTCGTTTCGACAAACAACAGATTAACAACATTTGCCTTATTCTTCAGAGTATATTAAAAGCACTCGATGGGAAAAGAGATCCGCGGCCATTGAAGCCGATAGTGAAGTCTGTATTCCATTATTTGACTAAACAGGACAGCTTACTATAAAAGAACAAATTGGCTGGAAACCTTTTTCAAGAATACCGATTAATAAAATTTCGACATTTTCATTATCGATTACGGCAATACTTTGAAATACTTTTAGAGAAACAAAAAAAGTTCATAGAATATGACGCTTGTAATGTCAACGGTACAAAATCAACACCTACAACCTCCATCATTAGTAAGTTTACCAAAGAGGGACGCATCGATGTAATCCTGCAAAAGCATTGTCCGTCCTACTCTCAAAAATTTGGTATGCACCAACCAACAGGCTCAGTTGACGATAGTTGTAGTTTTTACTTTTTATTTTCTGCCTATTACAATTTCTACGGCAGCGGTATTAAGCTGAGAGACAAGCGAAATGAAGGACCCGCATGGTGTGGTGGCGAACGCGTTAGTCCCCGGAAAGGGTGATAGCGCGTTCGTTCCCCACTACAGACACGTGCGGTCCATAGTTTTGCAAATACCTCAGCAACGTTGACAGTTGTAGTCTTGTTCCTCTAAGATATTAGCAGAAGCGCTTGGCTAGTTGTGGGTATCTTCTTCTCCACAATACTTTACCGACGTTGTATTCTACGTCGTAATGTGGTTAAAACAAAGGATGTCGTTGCTAGAGAGAGAGGAAACACCTAAACTTGCTTCGACATGAGGACTTTACCTAACTCATTTAGCTCTTTGCAAAGAAAGAGAAAAAAGTAGCCTTCAAAAGGGACCGTTCTATACGATCTTCGAATATCGCTTTAGCGCTAGTCAACTAAGGCATGGACCTGCTCCATATAACAACACTAGTTGACTGCTACTACAACTGCACGACGAAAATGCAGTGTTTCTATAGAGCTCCATCTTTATCGTTACTGCGAAACTGGATCTGGGAGTGGGGTTCCAATTCGCCGAAGATGTTTTTCGCTGCACTATAGCGAAAAATGAAGCCGATCGCTTGCGACAAAAACATATGCATTCAAGGGAAATTCATATCAAAATGATTTGCCAATATTTTGCTTCATTTGAGAGGGTATGTTCATTAGCAAGGTTTGTAATGAAGGCAGAAACATAAACAGGTCACGAACGCGGGTGCTTACTTTAGAAGAATTGACCGTCTATTTCTATTTTAAACGCATTCCTAACAGCAACGTACTTAGATATATTTTCAGTGGATAAAAATTACCTTATACACATCATCACCATTAACAACTCGTTCGAAGTGCCTCAACTGACCAGAGTTTGCTGTCACAGATGCTAGTTCCTCCTCGCTGTGAACTCTGAAGTTGTATTCATTTAAGAACTAAAGAAAATTTTTTAAACAAAAAGAACCATTCCACTCACCGAACGTCAGACCTTGGAAGAACTGAAGCTAGCACCCGCTTCTTTCCCAAATTGCCTTGTCTCTTCCTATGTACCTAAAAGGAATACTTAGTCTTTCATCAATGGAGATTTTCTCATTAATAGCTATTACAAAACCGCACATGACGCTTAGAAATCTTCACATTGTAGTCGCTTTCATAATTATCGGAATCCTCCGAGTTTTGCGTTTCGCTTGATGAAGACATTTCATCTGAAAGTGGAAGCAAATAAGTAATGCCAAAAAGAAAATATTGTCATACAGCTGACAAGGTGAAGATCTAAGCAACAAGGGTAATCTATTGCAAAAGTCTCATTAAGGCTCAGTAGAAAGCACATAATCCTTAATGAAAGCAGGAAATACAACTATACTAAAGCAAAATCATAAAATTTTAACACGGCAGACAGAAAGGCAACACGAAGGACTCGCATGGTGTTGTGGTGAACGCGTTAGCCCCCGGAAAGGGTAATAGCGTATACGGTCCTCACCGCAGACACCTGCGGTCCAAAGTTTTGCAAATCTCAGCAACATTATGGTTATATTTCACAAAATGACAATTGCAGCGGTGCAGAATACTGATTCAACAAGTAATATAGCAGAAATGATTGAACATTTGACAGAAAACTCCAACAATACGCGACTATCTTCCTGTTGTAAAGCAGAACTTAACCCCTCAAAACGAAAAATGTGAAACCTATGAAAGAAGACACTGATAGACATGTTTCCAGTCATTAAAAAAGACTGGAGACTAAATATGGATGGTTTTTCGTTAGGACGTTCTTTCTAGCCTTCTTAATTATTCTTACCCTTTGATCCTTCGAAAGCAACTACACTGTCCCAGAAACCCAAAGCATTTGTTCGGATAACCTCTTCAAAAACTTTTTATCACACTGGTGTCACTGTTGTCAACATACTCATTAGGAATTTAGAAAACTAAGTTCTAAAGAAACTTCACGGTGGTTATAGTATAGAATAAGAGAAGGCATGCTAAGAACCAATAAACCAGATTAATTCTGTACGAAAGAGAGTAATAATGCAGTTTAAAACAAATCAGTGGATATGAACAAAATTACGACAATAGAACTTGTTCATCAGTCGGAACTCCACATGGGAAGCCTCCTTCGACTGATCTATTTCCTAATTTTTTAAGGAAAACGGGGGACGGATAGCACAGTGGTGGTGATGTCCGCCATCATGAGCATGGTGCTATTCCGCTCCGGGCCAACCAAGCCCCTAATCTCTCCGCGGTCGAGAAACTGGTGCCGGACTTGTCTGGGAAAAAATCGCTGTTTGCAATCCAATTGGGAACGCTCTAGTCCGGCTATCTGAGGACTCCAGGAAGAATTGGTCGACCGGTATTCCACGACATTGAAGATGAAATGAAAATCCTCAAACAGCAGCTGAAGCCACACGTAAAAGTTAGAAGATCTTCGTGGACAGTGTATCCGAGGAAACGAATCGAATGCGAGAAATTCTGGGATCCGCAAAACAGACGTGAAGACGGATAAAATGAAATGAAAAAAATAAGGTGAAAAAGATCTTTGGAAAGGGAATACGATGGTACAAGGTTAGTTGTACATACAGCCAAATATATGCATAAAGCTATGATCTTCGATGGTATTAATTCTATGAGGTATTTCACTTTTATATGACCCGTCATCTTATACACTGTGCGGATCGAAGCATTACTTGCATTCGACTCCTTTTCGTCACATTCATCGCCCACAAAACTCTTTAAACAACTCGCGTGCTGTTTCGACTGCTGCTTGAGGATTTCATCTTCTTTATGGATGAAGTGGAATGCTGGTTGAATCAATTCTCCCTGCAATCTTGCGCTACCACGTGGACTGCAGAAGAGCATTGAGGAGGGACTCGAGCTAGCGTCTTTGCTTTCTGGTCGACGGCATCACTAATCAGTGAGTTACCCCGCCCCTCCTGAGGTATTATTACCGACAGTTCCTGTGAGATTTCAAAATACAAGTATTACGTAGTTACTGATCACATTGCGTTTGGTAATCCAAGTTTAATTCTAACTGGGAATAGTGTCAGCACAATACGAGAAGTACTGAAGACTTCCAACAGTGTAGAAATACTGAAACGATACAAACCTTTGAACAATTTCCTGCACTGTGTAATATGCTTTTCCGATAGAAAGAGTTTTGCAAGTTGGTAAGTGTGAGTGAAAGAATTTTGAGTTTTGAAGAGCGTTGAAAACAAGAAGCTGAGCCGCTCTCTTTCAAAACCATCAGTCTAAAAGAGAACCAGTCTGAAAACAATTGGAAAAAAACGAATTTGCTACACTGTAGACCACAAGTTCATAGATAATTTGGATACTCACAACTCTTTTAAAAAGTTGAATGTCGTCTGAAACATGGACACCGTTTTGAATGGCTGAGTGTCGGCGATCAAACGCTATGAGAGCACGAGATACACGGTGAGAAACAATATCGTGAGGCATCTCAATGTCAGCTACTGCGGTAACGGTCTATGAAGTTTGAAAACAATGAAGAAAAAAATCCATACTTTGGTTTACCACCACAGTGTTATCATAAAATACTTATTCAAAGTCTGCCTATGGTAATCATAGAGGTTACGAATGTTATGATTGGTAGAAACTCGGATACATGTGCAAAGAATCGGTTACAAGATCAGACAACAAAAAATCGTACAAAGATTCATGTATTTCTAGTGTATCACTTTAATTAATGATACGAATAAAGAACAAATTCGATTCTGTGGAGACCTTATTATACAACACTAGTCCGCAAGCAAACTACCCACCTGCCAATCAGTAGCATTCAGATAAACATGAACCATAACTCTATCACAACTGCTTAAACATCGCTCCGCAAACTAAAAGCAAAGGTGTTATCCCATAGGTGAAACTCTTGATAGTTGGGCAGTAACACCAATACGTAGCTATAGGTAAAAGCTATTCCAGTGAGACATACCAAATCCTTGTCTCCTCCAGTTATGGCATATTCTCTGATGGCAGCACTAAGTAATTCAGGTCGCTGATGTGCGATATATGCCAAACCCATTGGAAGATTAACACTAGTTTTTTGCATACCAAAATTTCGAGATGAACCAATCATCAGTCTCTAAATCAAACTTCATTGCATGAAATTCTTAAAACTTTTGGCACGAAATATTGAGTAGTAGAACCTGTTTCACCGCTTCGGTCACAAGAATATTTCTAGTTTCACGTGGTTTCGTCCTCACGATGTCAATGTCGGACATTGTAGGAAACTTTGCATTCAGTTCAGGTGAGACAATATGTAAAACGCCATCAAAGCCATACACCTAAAGCTTTTAATCAATTCTGATAAACTATAGTAAGAAGGACGATGTGGTACTACAAATATGAATGCCACTTTATGACCCAACAAAGGTAGGTCATTTCGGAAGAAACGAAAGATGATGATGTCAAACTAGATGACGGGATACTGAAGCGCCACATAGAATAATGAGGCACTGCATAGCGAATACTTCCAGAAATAAACCGGAAATGATGGTACACCTATGCAAAACGTGTTCGGACATTGTGGCAAAACAGCTGTCCCGGAAGTTCATCTCAGATTTCTCTCTAATATTTAACTCAAACAAGCAAAAGTCGGCAAAAACAAACGAGCACCATTTTGCGCTAATTGCACGAATAACGGAGTGAGGTATAAATGACAACTGATAACAGATCAAAACATAAGTTGTTGACGACTTCGACTAGATTTCAATTTCCTATTTGATTTATGAAGAACATCACGTCAACGGCACAACCACCATCAAGGATGGGACATAGTATTCCATTAGGCCGCTGAGCATCTTCCCTCTTGGAATGTTTGAGATTGTAACTTGGAGAAACTTCCAAGGCACTTTAGAGTTTGTCATTGCCCTCGAATTTCCCATCATATAAGAAACACTTAGGAGTTCGAAAGGGCTGCGACTGTCCACTCAAACTACTCTATTTACTTGTTAGTCAATTTTTCGACGTAAGATTTATCACTGTCATGCAAAAGCTGGATTTTGAGCCATTTCCATTACTCTTACTTCACCACCACAATGACTATGCAGAGCTGTACAATGCAGCGATTGAAGTCGACAACGCTCCGACTTCCTGACCATGCATTACGTATGCTAGAATTTAAACAGTACGATAATATGGATCGAGTTTCCACTCTGAAGTGCGTGGTCGGTGCGCTGGTGTGGAACAGATGCTCGTAAAGCATAATAGCTCCAACTTGCCGATCGTTAACTTCGATTCCATATCACTTTCACTGCTGCGCTCTTAATCCGTTATACTCCGCTTAAATAAACCTATCAAGTAGCGGTTACTTGATAAAGTGGTACCGAACGCCAAGTAACAAGAAAATCCTCGTTCATTTCCTTTCTTCCCACCCTTCACACACAAAGAGGGCGATTGTGAGAAACATGTTTCGAACAGCCACCTCTGTGTGCACTACCAGGGAACTAAAGGAAGAATCACGCGACTTGGCTCGGCAAATAGCCATTTCCAATGGTTACGAAATAGTAACCCCCACGAGAAAAGTTTAGGAGAGCTACGCGCCCACGCGAAATACTTGGCCAAAAGAAAGTCCCGTTTATGTTGCCTTTTATAAGCGATGAAGTAAGCGTAGGTATAAAACGATGCTTAAGAAGGGCAGGTCTAGAGGAATCAGCAGCGATAGTTGAAATACCACCGGCTACTCTACGTCGTCAATTAGTTCGTAACCGCCTATATGACCGTCTGCGTGAAATAATAAATTGTGTAATTTGCCCTTATGGCAGGGACGGTGATTGCATGAGTTCAGGTACGATATACCTGATCTCTTGCAATAACTGCGGAGATGAATATATTGGCGAAACGGGCAGACCTTTGTGTATCCGTATAAAAGAACACCTAGATGGAAAACGAAAACTAAGACGAAGCACCCCACTAGGCACGCATAGGATACAAAAGCATAGCGGAGACGATTATAAAGTAAAAGTCAATATCCTTGCACAGGAGTCTAAAACACCAACGCGAAAACTTCTTGAGGCTTTTTGGATAAATTCCAAAAACCCTACAATGAATAGCAGGGATGAATGCCCAGAGGTCATACGCGACCTGACCCCGTATGTTAGCATCAATTTCTGATGTGGGATGGTGCAGTCATCAACCATATGCGACTACAATCAACTGTTCTAAACTTCCTCATTGGAAGTCACGTAAAAAGGCGGTGGTTCTTTCGAGAAGCTGTTGAACATGTAATTACCATAGAGTTTTTCGTCTTTGTGTAAGTGTTATTGAAGCGTTTGGCCTAGTAGATTGTATATCGGTATACACTTCCAGGCTCTGAAGAAGGCGATACTGCCGAAACGTCAGCTAGTGTTGTATTGTATTGTGTTTCTCTATGGAAGTAAATGTATGCTGTTTAAAAGCTTCGCGATTGCTGAGCAAGAAAGCAACGCATTCATACTCCGCTTAGTGTTCCAGAACAAATTCCAACAAGGTATGAAACGCGTTAAACACGATTCTCAACAAGAACTGGCAAAAACGTTCCAGACTAATCAACATAAGTAAAAAAGTTTCCACCAAAAAGATTGGAATATAATATCAACATAATATGAAATTTATGAAAATAAAGTTACTCTTTGGGTGAAATCTTCCGGCGATCTAACCCAATTCGGAAGAACTTCGTTCCGTTCAGCTTCACGGAAAAATAAGTTATCGCTTACAACAGTTGTTGCGATCCTTAAAACACACAGTACTTAACAATGATATAGAATATAACACAAGCGTGAAACAATAACTGTCCGTTGGTGAGTCTCGCATACTTGTACTTGGATATTTGAATGCTTGGAGAACCCGTCCTCGCTGGTTGTGGGCTCTAGCATATTCCCCACTTATCGGAATCTTGCTGGTTTAGCCATTGTGGTTCCCAGCAGTCCTGAGGTCGGCCTGGCTAAAGCCTCCCCCAGGTCGTCAGCATCCCAGGCAGTCGCCAGCTTTGTGGATCAGAGGAAGATTTGCCACCATGAGACTAGTTTGATACCAAAACGGTGGTGGAACTCGGTATTGGTTTACTCTTAGCTGGAATTCCTGATACAAACGCCGGACTCCTTCTCAGATTGGGAGACCCTGTTGGGTGACGAATAACCACGCTGTACACCGCAGTCCAACACCCATGAACACCTCGCAGCCATGATGAAGCGGTAAGCCGTTGGGAGACGTATACTAATAAGCTGCCGGAAAATAAATTCACAATTTCAAAAACTTGCCGATAAACGAGACCTTCAAATTCGACACTCATTTTAAAAAGAACATCGATAATTTTCCATAGATCATCACTTCTACTTGTTAGTGGGGTTTCACCTTGCAAAGGAATACCACTGTAACCTAAATTGAGTAAATACCAAACACAAGCTTCAATAAACAATATGACTGAAAAACAACGTGTAACTGGAATACAAGTGGACCAACCTTGCGCAGAAAGTGTAATCCCTCGATCATCAAATACATAATTTTTAATCTCTTCTATTATACCTTCAATAAGCTCATTGTTACTGTGACAACATCCACCTCGATAGAGATAATAGTAGAGGGTATTTACTACCATATCTGTAAAGAGATCTAGGATTTCATACGTGTAGTGTTAGTGGCTAAAAACGAGAACGAACAGGAATGATGCATTTAAAATGGCGGACGATTTCTCTACCTCAAAACATCACCAGGTGTAAAGAAGAACCTTTTAAATGGCCAACAAACAGCAACCACCAGGAAACTAGGAAAAAACTGAATACAACGACCACAGAGGACACAGGACCCAAAGAACTTATGGTAGGATAACGATGTTGACCATACGGTTATCTAGCCTCCTGTTTTCACTCAAATCCATGTGCAACCCAAGTGTTAGAGATAACTATCATCACAAACTTTCTTCATAAAACAGCGTTTAGATGTATAGTAAAGGTTTCCATTTTCAATATTAATTATTATCCATATGGTCACAACATAGAGTTAGGCCATGTTTTCGGTTCTCAAGAAATAGTTTCTAAAACTATGAATATACCAAAACTTACTAGTCTGTCTGACAGTTTAGCTCTCTGTTCACGTATGGAATGACTATACTCAAAGTTTTCAAAGAGTTGGTCATGAGATGTACTGTAATGGCAATGTCAGTGTAAATATTACTACATCGAAAGGAGCACAAGTAATCTGATAAGACAGGTATTTTTCTGTCACTGAAGAACCTCTATCAATATAGCTGCTACGAATTTCAAGTGGTTCAAACTGTAGGTTCTTGGAATTTCTGGAAGTGCTTGCTAGCAAGACGTCTGATTTTGGGAGTTTCGACGACGACCTGCGAATGCAGGCGACAATGACAAGATATGGCCGCTAAAGGAAAGAAAGACATGTAGAAAAAGAAGGAAACAAAGCGAACGTGGTACGAGCTGGCGGCGTGAGCGATGCAGGTCGCGCGTGTCGAGCCGGCGGCGAGTTCGCGAGTGATGGATGTGCGCCCTCATCCCCAGCGCAACGCCGCCGCGACGGCCGCCATCGATTGGCTGCGCGACGGGCGGCGGACGACGGGGGGCAGGACTAACGGGCTGACAGAGTCGGCGAGAGAAACTGCAAGGAAGGCGACGGTGCGTCGAGCTACTGGGGCGCGATGCATCGGCTTGTCGTTTGAGCGGGCCCTCACTTCCCCGTCCTTCCCTTCATCTCTCCGTCTCTCCCGGTCATCCAACGTTTCCTCGTCCTTCTGTTTATTTAGTTAGTAACCATCTAAGCAACTGTGGAAACACCATGGAGATCGAGAACATTGTGGCGAATACGGTTTATATCAAGGCCAGAGAGAGTAAGCTGTGTGCTTTGTCGTTCACTTGTTTTCTGACGTGTTGAGTTTGTATACATCATTGTTCTAAAATACATGTTCTATTTATTACTTACCTCTTGCTCTTAATAAGCTGCAGCTTACAGGTGGCGGTCAGAAGAAGGGAAAGAGCAAGAAGTGGAAGAACTATCTCCAGTTTCCCCATTACACCGAGTGCCTCCCGCTGCGTTCTGAAATAGATGTCAGGTGCGCTCCCATTCCTTAAGTGTTAAAACTCTGTTCTCTTATGTCTCTTACATTAAATCTATGAGGTCTTTTCACTTTCGAGCTTAATTCCATTATTCAGAGAAACCAGTTTTCTCTGCTTTAAATCCTTGCATTTCCTCTGTAACCCTAGTTACGTTTTCTGCAAAAATAGCTGTCAGTTTGGGAATACTTGACGTTCTGCTTATTCCGCTGATTCCGGTCGCTGTAATTTTTCGGTGTTGTTTTGTCAGATGTTCCGTCAACGTGAAGAAAAGTATGAGTTCACAGAAGATCCGTTGGCACGGCCGTCTTTTCGCTCGGATTATGTCGCCTTTTCGTTAACAGAAGCTAAGTAACCATGGATGGAAGTTATACAATTGATAATAGTTGAATATGCTAATCCGCAGTACATAAGTAAAACACTTAGTTCTTGTGTAGTTATTGGTCTGCTAACTAAAGACAGATGGTCTGGTATGAACACTCGTTAATAAGTTGCACGTGTCCGATACCCTATAATGGTTTTCTTGTATTATACCTTCCACCTGTTCTCTTGAGAATCCTCACCTCTCTTTATCTCTTGAACTTCTCCACTTGGTGTTTTACGGTATGCCGCGAAGCCTTCGCACAGTGTTGTAACGTTTCCATTAATGAGCAAAAAGTTCTCTTTCTTTTGCCGCAATGTGGCTTGAATCAATGTAGCCTTTAAACTTTATTAATGGAACAGCTGGTTTACGACCATACAGAATGGAATTATCCTGTCACTCATTATTTCATGTTTTCCAGTTACTCGTACATCGTTGAACGCCAACCGATTGGAAAGTTGCTGTTCCAAGATTTTTGTGAGTCATCGGGTCACCAGTACTTTCAAGCATGTCTTTTTTTAAACAAGGTAAGCATCCATAGAACTTGTCCAAGTACTACGCTTGTAGTTTTGAGATTTTCCGTCCAAATCAAGTAGCAGTTTAAAGAACAAGTTTCGCTCGACGCTCTTGTGCTATTGTTTTATTCTTGTATTATTTTGCTACGAACTAAGATTATTTAAGTAAAGGTGGAGAGAATTAGAGCAGTTTTTGCATTGTTTTGTCATTGCCTTCGTTGACGATATGAGGATAAAGGATGGAGCTCTAGACGTTGATCGATCCCTGAAGGATGTGCTATGCATTGTACTTCATTAAGGGTCGTTGGAGGTGGTTGAATGCATATATGGCCTTTATAATGACTCGCGGTGGTCTGCCGATGTATCGAGCCAGTGCTGCTATCCTCCCAGACAAGTCTGCTACCAATTTGCCGACCCCCGAGGGAGGAGGGAGTGCTTGTTGGGCCTGGGGTGTAGGGATCAATTCTATGTGTATTGCAGAACGCCTTCGACCACTGCGCTATACGCGCCGCTTAGGTAGACGACACAGCAGTATAAGAATGAATACGAGCTTGGTTTCAAAAAGTTCTTGACGAAGATAATAACTTAGAAGATGAAGACGGTTTTGGAGAAAGCGATACCATCGACGATGATCACTTGACATAGTTCTGGAGCTTGCGGCTGCATAAGAACATAGAAAAAGTGTGTGGATGAACATAAATACAACTGTGATAGGTTTTTTTTTGAATTGTATGAGGAGACGTTATAAAATCCTTTTTGGGTTTCTCTTATGCAACTGAAAGAATCCTCCTTTCGTTCCATCATGTGATGCTTTGAAAACAAGATTCTGCACGAAAACTGACAAGATGCAATAGTTGTACGGAGGATAAGCACGTGCAGAATTTTCTGAAAAAATGAAATTAAAAAGGAATGAAAAATCCAAATTTGGAGTATGGTTGGAGTGACTTTGCTGGTTCTCATATGGATCCATCCAAAACAAATTGTTTCTTGAGGAGACCATTACGTCAGGTAAGTGTTGCCAGCAGATTGACAAGATGCATCAAGAACTGCATTGTACCAGACCTCCACTGATCAGCCGATAAGAAGCAATTCCGTTACAAAGTTACACTCAGCTACACGTCGTACCCCTGAAGCAAGAAAAGCTGACTGAACTGGATGGCGAAACTTAACCTCGTACTGAATATCCTGTCGGTATTTCATCAACCGCCCACTCCTTTTTGTGCCCATTGACAAACACGTGCAGAAAATTTTATCAACAGCTACACGGCTGCCGAAAATACTTTCAAAAAGTTCTTGGGCTAGAGAATTATGGAGTTTTACAGTGATTGAACTGTTCAACGAAAGTCTGGTTTGCAAAAATGTATTGATCATATGCATATTTGTTTTTAAAAGCCAAAAGAAGAAATTATTATCTGGACGGTTTTTCATACACTTCGAGATCTTGCAAGTTTCAGGTTGAGGAGTATGAGACTTCTGACGACGATGTGCAGTGTCGGCGAGAATTAGCGCGCGCTATTGCCAGTCTTCTCGCACCTGGTGGTGATACTCCTTCAGTGAGTTCTCTTTATTAGGATGTTATCCTTATATGTTTTCGGCCTTCGTGGATCTACAAGTTAATGTGTCAGTCATCGCAAAACGATAACAACCAGTGGTGCTCTTTTCTTCCGGAAAACGTGATAGCATCTGTTCTTGCTGCTGCCGATTCGGCTACACAAGATGAGGAACTTCGGACAGACACCTTCGCAGAAGCATACAAGTTCGTTGATTCTCATCAAACTTTGTTTTTTTTCAGTTACTTCACTAGGTTTTTCATTCCGTACGCTTATCTTCCGATTTATTTCGCTATCTGTTCATGTTACGAACAAGATTGTTGGTATTGTTAGTACCACAATGTTTCTGATCCCCACAGTGCTAGTTAAATGAGATTTTAAAGACTGTTACTGTTTTTTTTTAAATTGGTGTTGTTTAGAAGTGCTCAGAATATTGGACGAAACCCGTTTTGTTCATATTATCGTAGAGTAGGGCGCGTGTGGTGCAATGGTAAGAGGCGCCATGTGCTACACACACGGGATCGATTCCCGCACCCAAGGATCACCGAGCCTTCAGTCACTCCCGGGTCGGCAAATTGGTACCATGCTTGTTTGTGAGGATAGCAGCACTGGCTCGATACATCGGTAGGCCACCGCGAGTTGTAAAGGTCAAATATGTACTCAGTCACCTCCAAACGATGCTTAGTGAAGTCGAATACATGGTGCATCCCTTAGGAATTGATCAATGCCGAGAGCTTTATTTTTTTTTTAACTTTTATCGTAGGGTATGGGCTATATAGTAACCATTCCTTGAATAGTTCCTATTTCCTATAATATCACATGTTTCCTATACTAACTATTTGCTTATAACTATCTGAAATCTATCCATTTATAATTTATAAGTCTTTAGACCGTTTCTACATGTACTTTCGGTAGAGGCCTTTGTACAAGCTATTTCATCTCTTTCACATGACCTTTTGATAAGCCTTTGCGTCGTTTTCATGTAACCTTTCTGTACGAGCTATTCCTTCGCTATCTGATAAATTTCTACGTTGACGAAGCCTCTGGCATACCGTCTTATCTGATGTACTTCTCCGCATGTACCGTGTCATGCCTTGAATCAGCACTATCTCTGACTCCCTCTGTAAAACCCCACCCATTACAGACAGAATATAAGGAGCACCAGCAGTCATAAAGACTAGTGTCTGTCTTCCAATCTACCAGTGCCCGGGTTCTAACCCCCAGTGCTTATCTTCCAGTTCCTCAATTTCTCAGTGCTCCAACTCCAATGTCCTCCTAGCTTCCTTCAAGTGTGTCACTTATTCTCATTTCAATCTCGCCCGTATCCACCCAGCTTACATATCGTCAAATATCACACATTATTGTATCGTTGTTGTTGCTATAAACTGCTATAACCGAAACTCGAGGTTGTTCAAGGCAGTTACGGAGAAATGTCGCGGGTGGCGAATTCATATAAAGTCGATCATTCCACGTACAGTTGCCGGACAAAGGAGAAATCCGATCAACTCCCTAATCCACTGGCCAACTAACACAGTCTACCTATTTTGTGTTTTGTATCAAATTTACGAATTGCAAGCTAGTCTCTGTTTTAGTGGTATTATCCTCCACAAGATTTGTTTTTCTACTGATGTTTTCTTGGCTCGGCATTTTTATCTGTTTTACAGTCTATGAAACTTATTTTAAGGCTGGTTCGAGCGTACCTTGCTGATGAGCCCTTCAAGCAGTTTCTTGACTCTATTCTCTTTTATCGCTATCTTCAATGGAAGTGGTTAGAGAAGCGTCCCGTAGACAAACACACATTCAGACTTTACAGAGTGCTTGGAAAGGGAGGATTCGGTGAAGTATGTGCATGTCAAGTGAGTGGAAACTTTAGATTTAAAAGTTTTTTTCATTGTTATTAACACTTTTTTTAAAATGAAGAATACTTCCTAACTCGTGTTGTTACTTTTCCGTCATCAAAAACGTATTTGGGTTTTTGTCTCTTGTTTTTTATCTTGATCATCATGGGAAGTGAAATCATTCTGAAGGTTATGCAGTGCTAGAACTTATACGGATACACGTTTTCGTTTGCTATTGATGCCGATCAATTGGATGCTTGTAGTTGAAAAATAATTTTATTCCATTATTTCCATGGACGACCCACCATTGTAGAGTTGTACAAGCCTCACCATGTTCCCGCCTAACTGGTATATGGCTGATTTACAATTTTTCTTCGTGATATTCCGAGAAATTCGAGCTAGAACGTCCTCAAGCTCGTCATCGCAGGCAGTCGCCTATTCTTAAGGTTCACGAGGAGGTTTGCTATTTTACAACTGGGGTTGCTTCATGATTATTCAACATCAAACAACAATGAGGAGGTAAACTACAGGGGATGGCGATAATTTGTGTTGTACTGAAAAATGTGAATGTCTTTGCATTTTATAGAACATTGCTTTACACCTCGAATTACACAAAGTGGATAAAGAGCAGCGTCGCTTGCTTATGTGGGAGCACGTTTTAAAATCTGTCAGGTTTTTTGATCCGTTTTCTTTTTATAGGTTCGAGCATCGGGGAAGATGTATGCGCTAAAGAAATTGGAGAAGAAACGTGTGAAGAAGCGACATGCGGAAACGTTGAGTCTGAACGAAAAACAGATATTACAGCGAATTAATTCCCCTTTTGTGGTTAGTTCTTTTTATTTGTTGTTCCAACCGATGCTGTTTTATACCCGTTAAGTTTACATTTTTTCCTAATTTGATTCTACAGTAACGGTTTTTTTGTACTAGTTCTGCAAACTTCAGCACGATCTAGATTTTTTTCACGTGGTTCGTCTCCACTTACCGGGCATCGTCTTGCACATTTCCTTTTCGTCCCTCTCTCTCACATCCATCTTCGTATTCCTCATAGACTTTCTTCACATAGTTCACGAGCACATCTATCCACGTTTTTGTCGCTTTTCTCAATGGCTTAGGTACTCTAGGGAGTTACTGAAGCATCGTCCCTTTCTATCTGATTTTTTATGAATATATGCCTATCTGATCTAGGGGATAATAGACCGATTGATTTTTATTCTGGATTTTCATTGTTGTACGTATTCGAAATTATTTTTGGGTTGCAGCGTCCTTTTCGATTTTGAATATGCCGAGTGGATCTTCAGAGATTTCTTCTCGTTGTGTTATGCATCTTTACATGGCATGAAAGGGTATGGCGAGAGGAACCTATGAGTCGAACAGGTCTAGAACTCTTAAGTGTAGTATGGTTGGTCTTCTATGTGAACTTTAAAACGATACAACTCAGCTCGAACGTAGTTGTATAAATTGAAACGAGAATCACTAGGCAAATACATTTCTAGCGGTAAAATAGAAGTTTTTTCCGCCTAGGCTAAAAACTCTGAGGTTCAGAATGCGATGAATTTTTCAAAGGAATTTTTAGCAACGTTTTGGTTTTTGAATATTTACTCCACTGGTAATTGTCGTGATTAGAAGAGGAGGTGTTTCTGTCGTAGGAAATTCGATTACTTTACTAAGAGAAGGGCGGTTTAAGGGTCCTACTTATTCAACCTTTAAACATCATGGAATTTGTAGTCGAGCGTTATCGTGCTAGACTGTTGGATTTTTTTTTGTTTCCTTTGGTTTTATGTATGCACACTCTGCAGTTTTTGTAGGATTTAACCGATATTATGTTCTATGTTATGGTCGTTTTAAAGTTACTGAAGGCGTTGAGTCACCTGAGTCCCTTTGGCGGATTCCTCTTCATAATGGTCTTTTGTTGCAACATAAGCTTAAATAATTGCTTCGGAACTTCTCGGTCAAATCACTGTATGTACATTGTTGTAGAAGAGTTGGTTTTCATCGTATATCACAATTCGATCGGAAAATAAGTCGTTTTTGTTGCATAAAAGGAATGAAGAGCAGAGTTCCTAACGGGGATTTCGCTGCTTTTCTGTGAATTCATGCATCATTACGACATATCAAGCTTTTTCGTTCTTCCAAAATCCTTCGGATGATTTCGGATTACGAGCGGTTTTTGATTTTTGCATTTTGATACGACACCTCAAGTTGTTTTTTGTGGGATTAGCTTTGTTTATCGGTTTTACGTGTCTCAACTGCTGATAAAGGTCCACGACCGGGTCCGTTTTATAAACCACATGTTAGAAAAGTATTGCGAATGAAATAGTCGGGCCTAAAAGTCGTCAGGTGAACAGTAATAATATACAACAAACATTATGCATATATAAAAGGATAAAGGATAAAGCTCTCGGCGTTGATCAATCCCTGAGTGATGCGCCATGCATTCGGCTTCATTAAGTATCGTTGGAGGTGATTGAATGCATACCTGGCCTTTACAATGACTCACGGTGGCCTACCGATGTATCGAGCCAGTGCTGCTATCCTCCCAGACAAGTCTGGTGCCAATTTGCCGATCCCGGAGGGATGGAAGGCTTGGTGAGCCATGGGCGCTAGGATCCATTCTACGCCTTCAACCACTGCGCCACACGCGTTTTGGTTAGTGTATTATTATAGATCTTGACATCATATTACGACGAGTTTAATAGGAATTTCTACCTTTGAGATAATGTGCGTCGCCATTCTACATCATTTTTAACTAACGGCATTTTTAGGTGAGTCTTGCATATGCTTATGAAACTAAGGATGCTCTCTGTCTCGTTCTTACATTGATGAACGGAGGTGCTGTAGAAGACCTTTTCGCTTTTCTTGAAATAGCTATATTGCTATGTAGTTGTCATTTGTTGGTGTTTTAGGAGATCTGAAGTTCCACTTATACAATCTGATGCCCGGGGGTTTTGACGAGAAACGTGTTCAATTCTATGCCGCGGAGATCACTCTTGGTTTGCAACACTTACACAAGGAACGGATACTGTACCGTGATCTCAAGCCGGAAAATATTTTATTAGACGATTTTGGTATGAAATGTTGCCAATGTTTAAAAAATGTTCATCAAGAATACACATAATATTGCTCTACTTGCAGGTCATGTTCGAATTTCTGATCTCGGATTAGCTGTTGAATTGAAGGACAACGAACCAATCAAAGGAAGGGTGGGGACCGTAGGTTATATGGGTATGAAGATTTTATTTGCTTTGTAGTGTGATTGAGCTTCAAATCTGTATATGTTAAGCTCCTGAAATAGTAAAGAACGAACGGTATTCTTATGGTGTGGATTGGTGGGGACTGGGTTGTCTTATCTATGAGATGATCGAAGGAAAGGTGAGCCTGTGATTTTATGAGAAGCTATTGCCTATTTATGCTGTCTTCAGGCTCCATTTCGCCAACGAAAGGAGAAGGTGAAGCGAGAGGAAGTGGAAAGACGTGTTCGAGAAGACCAGGAAAAGTATTCGGACAAGTTTAGTGAAGCAGGGAGAACTCTTTGTCGGTAAGGCTCATGTTGTTGCTTATCGCTTGTGAAGGATTTTTCGTTTTCTTAAGGTTTATAGGATGTTTCGTATAGTTGAACATTGTAAAAGGAGTAGATTTCGTGTTATAAATGGCATCTAGGGCTGCACACAACTTAAGCATAGTGCAGTTTTATGCTTAGTGTTTTGCCAAAGAAGGCTGTATTAGTTCAATCTTTAATGCATGAGATGGTTTGTAATTTAGCAGTTTATCGCTTGCTGTTTTTTAGTATATCAAGCGTCTTTTTAAGCCGCTTCATCATGTTTTAGTTCCAGCCACTAGGAATTTCTTGGGAATTTCTGCGTCGCACTGATTCCATTGAATTTACCTACCTTTCCTTTCTTGTACCTCTACCTATCTTATTCGTTCCACATATTGCCGAATTAATCTACTCACCGAGTTAAACATGCGCATGTTCTGAATGTTCACATCTTATTTCGAAACCTGTTAACACTGCTTCATTTAAAAAGAGAATTGACCGTTTCGTAAAATTGCAAGCTTTTCCGCTTAAGACTTCTCCCACCACAGTTCTCACATTAGGATTGACCCTATTTTTTTTTTACAGTGGATATAATGTTAATCCACTGTTTTCGTGTTTTCTGTCCCATAAAAGTATTAAACTGAAGGGTTAATATGGTCATGGTTTTATCGAGGACATGGCATTCGTTATTCAGTCTTGCTTTTGAATTGAGATGCAAAAATTTTTTCCGTTTTTACCCCTCTCCCCTTTGGCATACTTTTTATTACCGGGAGAACAAAATGCTTAGGGAACTGAAACCTGTACCATCATGACCTGAGAGATTACATCTGACAAGTCCGCGTTTCTATAAAATTTTTCTTTCACTCTCGTTAAGTGGCGTTACCTAACATTCTGAATGAACAGCGCGCTAAGACCGTCGACGAAGAAATCCTTGTTTTGTTTGAAAACGACGGACTCCGAACTACTCGAGAGATCTCATTAAATATTCAATCGGTACCTCCGACGAAGCGATTACGACTACAGAATATTCTGACTAGTGCCGCCAAAGTTGTCGGAAAAATTGTTAGACTGGAAAAAAGAAACAAAAAAGTGGTGTTTGAATTTGTTTTTATGGCATTAAGAACAACTTGTCTTCTGGTTTATTTATGAAGCGTGAGAACTTCGCTCCATTTTTGGAAGAGGTGTTCATGGTCGATGAAAACCGGCTCGTGTATAACAACATGGGATAAAACAAGTGATCTAACTCTCTTAACCACTGCCAAAGCCACATTACATCCAAAAATATAATACTGCGCATCTGGTATGATTAAAAGTATTATTATATCAGAAGACTACCATATATGAAGAACTGTCAGAGAGGAAATAGTAATATGGTGTCTTTCTTGATAAGCAAACACGAAGTTGGTACTACAGCACTCATTATTTGACAATAGGTGATCTTTCGGCAGTTTAGCCTTCTTCATAGCGTGGAGCGGTCAAATTGACGTGCAATCTACTCAGCCAAGCACTTTCATATCCTCAGTAGACAAAATTTAATACATAGTTTTCCATTCGCATAATAAATAGCTGCTTTTAAACACTCATCTTTTTCGAAACCGACTTTCCTTGAACCTCGGTATCAATAATCAATATGTATTCTTTCTTTGATGAGCTGACACGAGGTTGAGAATGATATTTATTCATTTTCGGCTAACGTTTCGACGTCTTCATCTTCTTCCGATAACTCCGATCATCAGCTCTGAGGAAGACGAAAAACTTCTGCACGATGTGCGCAATGATGTATGTCCGGAGGAAATACAAGTTGTTACCACCGGACATTATCATTATATCGACCATCAGCATCGTGTATAAAAGGGTCACTGAGTGAGGATACCTCATTCGAGAAGATGGCTCACTGAGGAAGACCTGACTCGACACGAAGGCGAAGCTGCAACGTCGAGGCGAATAACAAGCGAGGACCATCGACTCGGACCATCGGCTCTGAGGAAGACGAAGACGTCGAAACGTTAGCCGAAAATGAATAAATATCATTCTCAACCTCGTGTTAGCTCATCAAAGAAAGAATACTCTTCTTTTTGTTCCTTATTACCCTTTCAGCTAATTGATAGAGACCACGTGATCAATCTCGAAGAGAGGTTGATTGAAGTCCAACTCTTCGATCACTGACATAATTCAACCATAGATTGCTGAGAAACAATAAACGTGGAGTTTCAATAAGACATAAAAGGAGCAATAATAAACGTGGAGTTTCAATATGAGATAAAAGGAGCAAAGACGTCTTAGGTAGTGAAGGCTGTAGAACCGCACCTCTTAAACGTAGAAAAAGGTGAAGTAGAGTAAAACCAAGTAGTCAACGGAAAATGGTGAACAGAAAGAAGAATGATAATGATCTCTCGAGAATGAACTGCCTTATATGTCATTAAATGCGGATTTTTTAAGTGTTCTTCAAGTTGTAGAGCAGGCACTTATTTCCTTTTTGGTCATGCTATCCACTTCCATTATAAAGATACTAGATTTTCTGCAATAAAATCTAACAAAATGAGACTGTTTTGTTGGGGCACACAGTATGTATTTTCTTCTTCGAGGCTTTTAATTCGAATTGCACTACGACTGAACAAGCAAAGTATCGTTCAAAATGACACTGTGGGGTTACGCAGTGTACAGTTAATGTTTGCTGCTAGCGCTCTTGCTTTTAAGACTTTAGGTCTCTCAGGAAGTTTTTCAACTCCGTGAAAACTTAAATTTCAGATAAAATATAAGATGAAAGTAATACTTCAGCGAAGTTATACATACCGGTACAGTGATAAAGCAATGTCTGCTATATAACTATGTCAAGTTCTCAACTGTTCAGGTAGTTCAGCTATCGGCTAATTGTGCTGTTGAAAAACCAGTACCGTATATAGTTTGTTAAACATGTAGTAGTGAATTTGTAACCATCAGTTGACACCACTTTCAATTTTAATTGCAGTGGTGGATCATAATTACTTTATGACATGGGTGAATATCAAAATACTAGCATATAGTTCGTATACTTTGTGATGTGGACTGTCATATTCTGATAACAACGTTGTTGACTAGCGTAGGAGTTTTTGTTTTTATTTCTTATTTTTCTCGCCGCACAGAAGAGTTGAAAATGTTTCCAAAGCAATCCAAATGAGTTGACATCGGTTCAAAATCACGCGGTCGAACGAAAGAAAGAGCCATTAAGTATACTTGCGAAACTCATTTGTGCATTAAATGCAGAATTAAGAGAATTACTATTAAATTTTAGGATCAAAATTCACTTTTACTACAACAAATTTTCGATTTGGTTCAAATTACTTGGATACCTGGTTATTTACATGGCTCGTCCTAAGTAGTTGTGCGAGTCCTAATATAATCTCCATTTTTCGGAGATTTGGTGATTTAGCTACTGTGTATCCCAGGAATCCCGAGGTCAGCCTAGCCAAAGTTTTTCCCAGGTCACCATCACGGGCAGTCGCAGCCCTTGTAGATCAGGGGTGATTTGCCACCATGCGACTTTGATACCAGGACGATGGTGGGTCCTGGTATTGGTTTATTCTTAGCTAGGCTTTCTGATGGAAACGCTGAGTTCCTTCTCATCTTGGGAGACCCTGCCAAAGGGGTGAATCCCTCTACTGTATATCGCAGCCCGGCACCCAGGAACACCTTCCAGCTACGATCAGGCGGTAAAGAGTTGGGCTAATTATGTAGAAAAATTCTTACATGGACTTCACTCCACGTGACAAATCTACTCGTCACCTGCCCATGAACTGAACTTTTTGTTCAGGATATTTTTGTTCGTGCTATATGTTCCATAGTCAAAAGTGCTGTTTTCTTCACTTAAATGTCGGTTTTTGATTTAGACATTGGAAATGATGCAGCTACTGTGTATTTTGAAATATATCATTTTTCACAGCCTATTAAAACCTTAAACCCTCCCAACGGTTTACCTCCTCATCGTGGCTGGGAGGTGTTCCTGGGTGTCGGACTGCGATGTACAGCGGCGGATTCATCCCTCTGGCAGGGTGTCCCAAGCTGAGAAGAAGTCCGGTGTTTCCATTAGGAAGCCTAGCTAAGAGTGAACCAGTACCAGGATCCACCATCGTCCTGGTATTAAAGTCGCATGGTGGGAAATCTCCCTTTGATCCACAAGGGCTGCGACGGCGTGTGGTGGTGAAGAACTGGCGCAGACTTTGGCAAGGTTGTCCTTGGGATTCCAGGGAATCACAATGGCTTAACCAGCAAATCTCCGAAAAGTGGTGATTATGCTGGGGCCCGCACAGCTAGTGAGGGCAGGTCATTCAAGTATCGAGTAGGTATTAAAACCTTAAGGATTACTTTCACCTTTGAAATATAATTTTCACCTGCTGTGGGCATTATGCGGTTTCGACATACGGAGAGTGACTTTCAGTGGTCTCCTCCATAAGGAACCGACATTTCGACTAGGATGTCGTCGAGTAAGTAAACCGGAAGAGGGGGCCGAAGAAATTCGCGCTCATGCTTTTTTCAACAATGGAGATCCGAACACAGGTCGTGAAGCGGTTCCATGGAAGAAAATGGAGGCTGGGAAAGTGAGTCTTTCTATGATTTGCTGTTTTATTTTCTATTGACTTATCGTACCCTTTTTGGTCTCTGTTGTCTTATGTTGTATTCACTTGTTACGCTCATATGTTGAGTTTGGGTTTCCTTCTGAAAGGAGGGCATGTTCCTTGTGGAAGTACTACTTATAAGTCCAGATTAATACAAACAGGTTGTTTATAACTTCTCGGTCAATACTAATGATATCGCCCAGGTAACGCCTCCATTCTGTCCAGACCCACGCGCTGTTTATGCTAAAGATGTCCTCGACATTGAGCAGTTTAGTACTGTAAAAGGAGTTCGACTTGATGCAAGTGATACACAATTTTACGGTAAATTCAACACGGGCTGCGTTAGTATTCCATGGCAGAATGAGGTGCGATTTTGTTCCCACCAGTGAGACATTTTAATAGCTATTGTCTTCAGATGATCGAAACCGAATGCTTCCAAGAACTGAACGTGTTCTTCGAAGATGACGGTAGTCTTGTACCAAGTTTGCGATCAGATGATCAAACACAATTTAACAGGAAGAACGGTTCAAGCGGCGCCGGGTTTTTCAGTCGTTTGTTCAAGCGCAAGGTACTGCTTTATCCTTGTTCCTTTTACTTTATTTTGAAGTCTTACATCAGTTCATCTCTGGTGAACTCTTCTTATTCCTATAAATTTTTTTTACTCACCGATATTTCAGTACAAGCATGTTTAGTGACGTGTTGTCCCAGAAAATGAGAACCCATTGAGTTCCGCATTTTTTTCTTAAACAAAACCAACCCTCAGCGCTGCAGGATTATTTATAGCAATGTGGATAGTAAATGGCTATGCAAAGGATGGAAACCTATCATACTGTACACTTGTTTGAGCTCAAGCTTAAGATGTGCAAAAAGATCAAGTCTAAACTTTTTTATCTCCAGCATTAAATTTTCCGTTCTTCAAATAGGTCTTAAATCATGAGAATTTTCGCTGCTTGGCGTCTTGATATACCGCGAAGCAGCTGAAGACACCGGCCATTTTCTCTTCTGATAAATTCGACATGTTTAGTGATTGGTCTTCAACTGCCTTTCCCGTGTATACTGTGTACGAACAGTGAGTGATCTTCACAATGCATCCTTGGTTGTTCTGTTGTTTCTTTCCCCGTTCCAGCTTTTAACGACTTTCATCGCTAGTTTCAACCGTGATTCGGCTTCTATTTTTGGATTCTATTAAACCGATATCTGCAGATCGCTGATTACCTTGTTTTGTACTTTTAATAGAACTGCGGCGCATTTATGCGTAATGGTATAATGCTTGTTACGTAGTTGACTGGTACATTCACGTACATTGTTCCTTAGTAGTTAAAATATATGGGGACTGTGCTTTCGTATTTTGTTTACAGGGTCGTTGTTTGACCATTGTTAGTTTCATAAACGAGGAAATAGAATAGAGTTTGTGCTTTCTATGATAAGGATTTAATGTGCGCCTTCCATTGCTTTTTGTGCCTTATTTTACGTCTTTCGTTGTTCAGATTAAGTTAAATTGAACTTTCTTTTAAAAAAAGTCTATAAAGGCAGATTAGAGTATGCAAAGCTACGGTTCTGCATAGCTTTTTCTAACGTTCTGTGGGATAATTATTATCTTCTGTGGATTCTCATGGCGTCCCCATTGCAGCGTGCGCAACTCAATGGTGAGCATTCGAAATGTTCACATTGTGCTGGTAATTCTGGATGCGGCAAATGTAAGGTTCGTCCAGTTTTCTTCACTTAGTTGATGCGCCAATTACTGTGTGGGGAACTCTGTATTATTTTTTGCCTTTCGCTATTTAGCATTATTGCATTTGTATGCAGTTGTTTTGTTGTCAATTGTAGTGTAAGGTTGCAATATTTTAGTTTTGTAAGGTGAGCCACTACATATTAATGGGTATAGGTTGATGGTAGGGAAGTCTGGCACTGTTCCGTTGCTTCGTCACTGGTTTTCGGTTCATCAGAGCACTTTTCATTGCAGTAAGTGCAGATAATTTATCATCAATGCGTATGAGGAGCTTCCTCGAATGAAAGGTGTCGTCAAAATTTCTTATCCATACGGACTCAATTTCTGATGTTGATGTAAGGGCTGACTTTTAGTTTCCAACTGCAATTTTGCGTGAAATGGATTTGTTTTCAGCGGAAATAATACGTTACGATGAAGAGTTAGCTGCCGCTCTCATTAAGGTGTAGTGTAATGATTTGTCAAGTACCCAGAACGATAAGCGCACATTTTCCGCTTAATTTATATCGGATTATATATACGGGAGTTAATATATGCCACTATCTAACTCAGGTTTTTTCTCGCGTTTATCAGTTCACATACTCAAAACTGCTTGAAATCAATTAGATTTTTTTTAATATTTGCCGAAATCCTCTGCAACACCATGAGTGAAAAAAAGCTTGTAGCATCTTGTACATCAAAACCGTTCCTAAATCCATACCGTATGGATCGGCTAATGTGAAACTTCAGGACAGATGCGAAGAAAAAAGGGTCGTGCTATTTTTTTTACCTGATCAGGAAATAACGTTAGTTTCTGTTTAACACTTCCGTGACGATGCGTGCTGATTTCAACAATTTTTTTGGTGGTTAAAGAAACAGATCGAAAGAGACGGCGTCGTTGCTGGGGCCCGCACAACCACTGAAGACAGGTCATCCAAGTACCCAAGTAAGTACCTCACTGATTCACACAGATCTCCGACTGAAGAATCTCGAGCTTATTAATCCAAAGCTAGGTGCTGCACCAGTGTCTTGCAAAGCGCGATGATCTCGGATTTTAATGCGTTTTGTTTTCAGTGGTCTTTTTTGCTGCACAGAATATGTATTGTAGTTTTTGTATCTAGTCGATAACTTGCACCCCATAAATTTTATCGGTAGCGTAGTCTGAGCAAAGCTTTATTCCAAAAATGGCAAATTGTGGCCATATGGGTTATCCATGCATCCGTTGAGGTAGATTAGGTCGTATGCGTTCGTTTCAGTGTATTTATGTGTCGTTTTCTTGCTCAGCAATCGCGAGGTTTTTGAACAGCATACATTTACTTCCATAAAAACACAATACAATACAA